AGTCCCAGATAGAACTCCTGGTCTATAAGGATATCAAGAAGTGGATATCGTCGAACAATACAATTATGCCACCGAACTTTTTAGGCGTTACCATGAATTTAGTAATAACTGGTAGGTATACGTGGCGAAATAAAAGTTTAAAAATCCACCTACCTTTTAAAAATGGGCAATTTTTCAATTTTTTTTTATTTTATTATAGACCAGCAGATTAAATCATATTTTGTTGTATTTCTTTTTTTTGATCGCAATGGTACATGCTTTTTTTAGACAAATATTCCAGTGATAACCCATATGCACGTCATTGGTGAATATGGCAACTCTTTTTTAGCTTTAAAATATGTCACATTTATAGTAACATTTACCGTCAAAATTTCATTCGAAATGCCAAAAGTACTTAGAAAAAAAGTATAGCAAATTGAAAAAAATATTAAGACTTTAACACCCTGTAGCTAGGAAACAAAGCAGAATCTGACCTATGTTGATATGAAAAATAAATCTTATTTTTACGTGAGGGAATCTCCCCACGTGAGATGGCACATGTTTTTTTGAAACATCCTGTATATTATGATATGTTTAGTAAATGACACACACATTATGATCGTTGTTTTGTCTTTCGATTTAACAAGTATATTTCTATTTGGGACAATACTAACAATACATTCTGCTTAGTAAGTCAGTGGAATCCAACTAGGCTTGTGTTAAGATTTTTTCATTTCGAGTTTTAATAAAAATTAAGATATTTTAAAACGGAAAATATAATGCTGGTATAATTAACAGATACTGTTACCTTGTTAACCTTGGAACTTCTATTCCTTATACATATTTTTTTCTTTCCTTTACAAAAATACATATATTTCTTTATTTATGAAAATTTTTCAATTATGTACATATATCTATATCTGGAAAATAATTATTAGTATACCGGGCGCGTTTCAAAATTTTATTTTTTCAGATAAAAAATAACGAGATTTGGTATGTTGTATATGACAAAAAAATCTGTTGCTTCCTGTTTCACTGAAAATGACTACAACTTTTTGTTCTTAAATAGCAGCCTCGATATTTTTTTTACATTATTCGATAGAAAATGACACTCTGAATATAGTGACATATCATATGTCAATTTTTGACATTTTCATTTAAAAAAATCGTATTTTAAATTTCAATCTAGAGTGTCATGGTTGTGTTACAAGCACTAATTTTTAATCAAGGAACCTTAGAAAAATAGATTTGATTGTCTAATGTTTTTAGTGTCTTGTTTAAATGGAATGAGGGTGGTTCATTAGCATATTTGGAAAAAGTTTTTTACGAATAATTTGGTAACACGCACTAGGTATCCTTGGTATTTCGAGCCAAATTGTCGTTATGAACCGCATGTTACAAATTCAAATAAACCATATGCGAAAATGTAATAGTTAACATATGATATGTCATTCTTCATTCACAATAATTGTATAAGTCAATCAATCCTAATTATTTATGTCATATACTAACACATCAAATCTCGTTTTTTTATCTGAAAAAATAAAAAGTTATACGGGTGAGCCACACAAAAAATGTAATTCGAAATCTGTTACATATTTTCTTCTAATTTTAAATATTTCATTAATACGATTATAAATAAAGGAAAAGTCAAGTAAATTTAATATATAACAAAGCAAACAGATAAAGGTTTTTGATCTAAGTTATAAAATACATGAGAAATATTATAACTTATTGAATTGAAATATTAATACTTATTAATTTATCTGATATCTCAGGTAACCGGAACATTATGTCATATATTATATTGATACGATATTAAAATTCTTTTAACTGAAAAATTGGTTGACGTAGTTACAGACCGATATTGCATTATTTGGTACATTTTGATTGAAAACTCTACCTTATAATATTAATAAGATCATTTTAAACGTATGCTAGAAGCTGAGAATTTAAACCAATTATAGAGTGAAAGACATTTTCTGTACTCGTGAGAAACTAGACTTTTGAGGCTAAAATTAAGACTTATCCCAAGCGTTGACTATTGTCTGACTCAAAATTATAGTTATATTTTGTTGTGTAGTTAGGCCGACCATACCAACAGGTATGGTAGGCTATTAAGATCGGCAAAAAAAATATTTTTTAATTTCACTTAAAATAAGTTATTTGAGTCATAAATGACCTAAATACAAAATATTTTCTCTCTCATGGTGTCTGTCGGTCTGTCTGTAACACGATAACTCAAAAACCGCTAAACCGATTTTAACCAAATTTGGCACAAAAATACTGTGGCACCCGAGAATCTGGCCATTATTTTTTGGTGGGTGTGGGGGGTTGGTACGGGGGTATGGGAGGGGGTTAAACATTTTAAAAAATCGTAACTCCAAAATTACAGTAGCTAGCGAAACGCGGTTTTCAATTTATGATTAGGAATACTATTTGTAACAAAATTTGTAATGATATCAAAATCAGTTAAAGTCGCAGTTTTTGAGATAAAAAAAATTGGAAAAATTCCTTTACTTTGAAACTAAAAGGACTGCCGACCAACTCTTTATTAACATATTTTAGTATGGGCGGCTATATGTGCCTCCCGGCGCCATTTTTTTTTATTAAGTCATTGCTTTTTAATATTTTTAGAAGTAAAAAATGTCTATACCTATGTGGCGGATTCATCTCTCCAAAAAATCCTATATGGGTATTTCGCCACTGCAAGAAAATCTACAAAATAAAATAGTTATTTTTTGTAAACACTTCTGCGTTAATCCAAACGGAAACTACCTTTCAGAAGTTAGGTTTACAGATATACAAATTTGCCTAACGAACAAAAAAATGCTTAACGTTTCGGAAAGTTTATCTCTTTCCGTCGTCGGAAGCAAAAAAATACAAAGAATAAAGAAAAAAACTATTTAAAATATTTAAATTCAACTATTCGAGAACACTTTAGTTTTTAAAAACAGATACGTCTACAAAAACCGTTGACGTTCTGTTAAAATGACTTATATATCAACTTAAACTTCAAAATTAACAATTACTACCTGATAACAATTACCTCTCCAAAAAAAATCCTTTATGGGCATTTCGCCACTGCACTGCAAGAAAAATCTACAAAATAAAATAATTATTTTTTGTAAACACTTCTGCGTTAAACCTAAATGGACACTGCTTGTCAGAAGTTATGTTTACAGTAATAAAAATTTGCCTAACAAAGAAAAAAATGCTTAACGTTTCGGAAAGTTTATCTCTTTCCGTCGTCGGAAGCAAAAAAAAATATAAAGAATAAAAAAAAATTATTTAATATATTTAAATTCAACTATTCGAGAACACTTTACTTTTTTTTAAACAGATACGTCTACAAGAAACCGTTGACGTTCGGTTGTGAACAGAATCTGTTTTAAAAAAAGTAAAGTATTCTCGAATAGTCGAATTTAAATATTTTAAATAGTTTTTTTCTTTATTTCTATTTTTTTGCTTCCGACGACGGAAAGAACTATTTTGTAGATTTTTCTTGCAGTGCAGTGGCGAAATACCCATAAAGGATTTTTTTGGAGAGATGAATCCGCCACATAGATATAGACATTTTTTAACAATTGCCTGTGACAATTACTTAATAAGGTAAAACCAAAAAGCCCCAAGCTTTCTGTATGATTAATGTTATGTTCTTTAAAATCAAAGAAGCGATTGCCATACATTACTAACATCTACAGATGCATGAGCAATACACTTATTTTTATTAGATTGAATTAAAAAAGCCTCTTTTATTTTTCTTTTAGAGGCTATTGCTTCTTTCTTATAATTTTGGCGTTATTAAAATTTATTCTGTGCCCTCTGTCCCATGAATGCTGACAAATCTTAGATTTGTGAAAATCTCCCTTTCTTAAATAATCTTTATGTTCTTTAATTCGAACATTTTAGGGTCTAGATGTTTCACCATTGTAAAATTTATCGCATTCACATGGTATTTTGTATATTACATTTTTTGTTTGTTGTTCTGTATTCATTGGTTTAGTATGTGATAAAATGGATCTAAGTGTATTTTGTGTTTTGAAAGATGTTCGTATTGTTACGGATTCAGTGGGTCCACTAATTTAAACTCACGATAAAATACTTAACTAATTTATTTTTTATCACTCTGTACACACAATTTATACTGATTATAAAACACAATTTATGCAACTACTATTACTCTAACTTTTCTGGCACCTTCGCCAATTTATTCACAATTTAAAACGCGGTATTATCAAACTTCAAACTGGTCCAACTGCCGAGCGCGGGCTTTTATATACCCCTACCAACTGTTTCGGGAACATTCTATAGAATTGTGTAATATTTCTTTTACTTTCTGGCGAATTCGCCATGTTTCTTGACACGTTGCGGTTTATAGTTACTCGCTTCTCCGACAGATGGCGCCACATACACCTTGACAGTATGTTATATTGTTTTCCTATCCTTCTTATTTTATCCGAAACGCCTCGTATGTATGGAATTGTAAGTTGTACATATTGTGTATTGTTATCATTGTGTCTATGATTTGGGGTTTGTATTTCGTTTAATGTTTGTCAATAAAATATGGTGGATAGTCGTTTTTATTAATGTATTTTTTATGCGGTTTATCTCTATTTAGTGAAATGTCGCCTGAACATATTATTTTTTCCCTATCATATAAACCTTTTATAACTATATCTATATCTTTTTTACACTTTTAATTACAGTATAAGTGTAAAAAAGGTTTTTTACACTTATACTGTGATTAAAAACTACTATAAAGAGATAACATATCACAGTAATACAACACAGCATCAAAATACATACACATATAATACAGACTTACAAACATGATAGTCATAAATATACATTCACGCTAATAAAAACAAATTAAATTACAGTTAAAATTAATTAAATTAATAAAATGGCTGCTTCTTAGCCGAAATATTGTTATATATTTAGTCAGTTTATGTTGTGCATTTTATTTGTTATATAACCAATTGCATCATAATATGGTTCGGTTTTTTTCTCATTTTTAGATGGATAATGTAGTACTAAGAGGAATTGTGGGAACACTTCATTTCATACGATTTCCAACATCAAAAATGAAAAATTTTCTAGTACTGGCTAATCAAAAAGGTATGGCTAAATTGGTAACAACTGTATGCGCAACAGGAGGAGGTGCATATAAGTTTGAAGAAGATTTTAAAAGGGTATGCTAACTTTATTATCCATTAAAGTTGGTTCTTATAATAACCATTGAGTACAAGTGGTAATAGTTAAGTATCGACTTATTTGTTAGTATTGTAAGAAATAAGGTTCAATCGTTCTTCTCGTTTAGTGTTTCTCATTTGGACTTTTATATATTTGTATTTGTGATTTAGGTTTTGACATTAGTAAATTACTTGGTCTTTTTTGCAAATTTCTGTGAATATCAAAAAGAGAGGAGGTCTACCGTATCCTGTTGACATTCTAATAAAGGTTCTGACATCATTAGATAAAATTAAATTTTCAGTTCAAAATTCTTTCCTTCAACAGTTACTTATTGATAGTTAGATATTTAGTTCAACAAAACCGTTTCGAGTCGCGAAAGACGACGTGAGTATTTGCTTGTCAGTTACTTAGATAAATGTTTTTATTATATTCATAAGCTGGGAGATGTGTTGTGTACTCGAATTTGGCCTTTTTTTTTTCGTTATGACAATTAATTGTAAAATAGCAAAATAAAACACTAAATCACCACAATACACCAAAACACTTTTACTTTTACACTAGACGCGCGTTTCGCTAACCATGTTAGCATCATCAGCAGATGATTATAAACTAAAATACAATCTACAATTGGAGCGTTTATATACTCGCTCAGTGGACACAGAGTGGGCGTGGCAAGATCTAGCCAACCGAGTCAGAACCCACCGAGCGTAACAGTTAGATTTCCGCCACTAGAGTAGTAGGAACAAAGAACTTGAAGGAATTGGACCGTTGTCTCTGTTCATACTATCTTTACATTTATTAATTCTGATGCTTTCATATGCATCTAATTGCCTGTAATTTGAGACTTGTTTAAGTAATTTTAAGTTATTAAGATCTATACAATGTTCTTTATCAACAATATGTTCGGCAACGCAAGATTTATCAGGTTTACCATATCTTATCTGAGCTAAATGTTCTTTAAATCTAGTTAATATTGATCTTCTAGTTTGCCCAACATATTTCTGATTACAATCTTTACAAGAAATTTCATAAATACCCGACCTTTCCAGTAGATGTGTTTCATCCTTTGGATTACTTAATAATTGTTGTAATTTATTATTAGCACTATATACAAGTTTATAATTGACATTCTTAAAAATTCCTTTTAGGCCACGGGATAACTGCCAAACCAAACCAAACCAAATCAAACGGTATTGAAAAATATTTTGACGTATCTTCCTCCACTTGAAAAGTCGAATTTTCAGAAATCATTAACCTATATCTACGTTTTCTAATTATTTTATCAACTAGTGAAGGAGAATATCCATTACACTCAGCTACATTCCTAATGTAATCTCTTTCTATTTCATATCTTTCGTTGGAAAGTGGAAAACTAAGTAATCTATGAACTAAGAAATTTAAACTAGCCATTTTATGTTCAATACTATGATATAACTCATTAGGAATATATCTGCGTGTGGTGGTATTTTTCCTATAGATATCAAATTCCAGGCAATTATTAGTATTTCTAATAACTAGTAACTGTCGTTGTGCTCAATTTCATGTGTAAATTTAATGGAAGGAAAACGATTATTTAACTTAGAAATAAAATTATCTATGGTGTCTGAATTATCTAGGGTGTCTGACTTTTCATTATTTTTATTAAATTATTATCATTAAATTTCTTAGTTCATAGATTACTTAGTTTTCCACTTTCCAACGAAAGATATGAAATAGAAAGAGATTACATTAGGATTGTAGCTGAGTGTTATGGATATTCTCCTTCACTAGTTGATAAAATAATTAGAAAACGTAGGTATAGGTTAATGATTTCTGAAAATTCGACTTTTCAAGTGGAGAAAGATACGTCAAAATATTTTTCAATACCGTTTGATAGACAGTTATCCCGTGGTCTAAAAGGAATTTTTAAGAATGTCAATTATAAACTTGTGTATAGTGCTAATAATAAATTACAACAATTATTAGGTAATCCAAAGGATAAAACACCTCTACTGGAAAGGTCAGGTATTTATGAAATTTCTTGTAAAGATTGTAATCAGAAATATGTTGGGCAAACTAGAAGATCAATATTAACTAGATTTAAAGAACATTTAGTTCAGATAAGATATGGTAGACCTGATAAATCTTGCGTTGCCGAACATATTGTTGATAAAGAACATTGTATAGATCTTAATAACTTAAAATTACTCTCAAATTACAAGCAATTAGATGCATATGAAAGCATCAGAATTAATAAATGTAAAGATAGTATGAACAGAGACAACTGTCCAATTCCTTCAAGTTCTTTGTTCCTACTACTCTAGTGGCGGAAATCTAACTGTTACGCTCGGTGGGTTCTCACTCGGTTGGCTAGATCTTGCCACGCCCACTCTGTGCCCACTGAGCGAGTATATAAACCAATCCAATTGTAGATTGTATTTTATTTTATAATCATCTGCTGATGATGCTAACATGGTTAGCGAAACGCGCGTCCAGTGTAAAAGTAAAAGTGTTTTGGTGTATTGTGGTGATTTAGTGTTTTATTTTGCTGTGTAACCCCAAATGTTCCAACCCTCAACTGTAACAACTAATTGTGTTGTTACGACAACTAATTACTTCTGAAGATGCCAGAAATATATTGGCGAAACGTCAAGTAAAATTGATTATTTTTAATTAAAGAACCTCAATAACCCAAAAAACAAGTTAAAAAGTAATTTACGTTTTTAAAGTTAAAAGTATATTCACTATAATCTCCGTAATGCATTAATAAAATAATTACATTTTATTAGTACGTTGCGTTACACTACAAAACATAATCATTACAGGTATAGTAGTCGTCACATTATTACGTTCCGAAGCGTTTTCTGACTCTCCCTTAAAATTAGTAAAATGACACTTATCATGTTTTCCCCTGAACCCTTCATATGCAAGGTGCAAATACCATGACAACTAATGAAAGGATTAAAATATTTCAAGAACAAAAATGTGTTCTTTTTTCTTCAATACAATTTTACGGGTTTTTCTTTTTTGACAGTTCTCTTCATTTTTTTAAGTGTTTTATTCTGTGATCGACATGACATAGTTGTGTTTTTACCTGCATTGACATTTGACGAAACACCGCTTTCTAGGTTTCTGAGTAAATTATGTTTAAATTTCAAATTTTATTTAAAGAACCTGTCGTACATTCAGTTTACATAAAACTAAACTTACCATTCTTAACTTTTCAGGAAGTTAATATGAAATTAGCTAAGTATGACGAGTTCGAGTCGCTTCTCAAAGGATTGCTATATATTGACAAAAATAATCCGACAGAATGTTACTATTGGTCCAATCCCACTGATGGAACTAAATGTTCTAAAGTGCAGTATGATTTCTCAAGTCCCTATCCGTTTCTACTGGTTAATATTGGTAGTGGTGTCAGTATATTATCCGTAAATAGTGCTACGGAATGTAAGAGAGTTTCTGGAACAAGGTAAATATCCTAATAGTACATTATTAAGTTTTTCATATACACTAGTTTTCGTTCCCAAAATAAGCAATATGAAATATATTATAGCTGTTTATATTTTTTATATTTTGAGTATTATTATCTATTATTTTGTTGAACAAATCATTATGTAGTTTATCTGCAAGTTGATTTAATATTTAGTGTTAAACCAAACCAAACCAAACGAGACTTTGTAATTTTCCCCACGAATAATAACGGCGTCAGCGTTGGCTATGAAATGACGATCGATGACATTTCCCATATTATACATATAAAATGACAGCGATCTTCATTTTCACGCCGTTTTTATTCGATCATACTGTACTTGCATTTTTGGTAAAAATAAGTGGAATTGAGTTGGTGTTTGACAGTGGTCGCGCTATTAGAACTCTGAATTCAAAATGAATGGATATCTCAAAATCTATTAAAAACAATTGATTGTAGTTTTTTCAAAAACTTTCTTAACATTTTTGCTATATTTTCTCGCAGACAGTATGTGAAAATATTTATAAATAAAAAAGTTACATGATTGCTGAAAGTTGCTATGTACTAAAAGTAAATGGATGGGTTGTTAATATTTTTTGAATGAACAAAAACAACCTTATCGAATTTTTCTTATTTAAACATATTGTAAAAGATCCAATCTTCAAAATAAAAAAAAACGTTTCAATATCTAAAGTGGTTCTTAAGTTATGGCGTGTTATGTGTTAAAAAGGGGCTGCAAGCCCCCCCCCTCTCTTGAGCCCTTGATAATAATTGTATTATAAATTATTAATTATTATAATAATTATTATATAATATTATATACTATGTATTATACAAGGTGTCCCAGAAATCAGTGCAAGTATTTTAACTGGTAGTATAGTTCAACCCCAGAAACACGCCTATGAGGTTTTTTCCGCGAAAAAAAAATTGAAAATTCAGAATTTTTTGAAAATTTTTTTGGATTTTTTTTAGTTAAAAAACATAATTTCTTGATAATATGGCAATATAGGTAGTAGATTAAATTTACAAGAAAGAAAATCCAGAAAAGATCCAGTGGTTCTCAAAATTTGAACAAAAAATCATTTTTTTTTGGAAATTTTCAAAGTAAAACAACGGAGTTATTTTGGACTTATTTGAAAAACGGTAAAGGAAAAATATGTTTATTTTATCGAGATCCCCCTTAAAATACTTGCACTTATTTCTGGGACACCCTGTATATTATATATTATTAATTTATTATGTGACAAACAACTCTAGAGTATGTACTTTGAGTAAAATTTTGAGTCAAGCCCCCCCCCTTTCCAGAATTCAAGTGAGATTAAGCTTGTTAACGCCATATTAATCGCCAACCTCAACAAAGAAGGCACCTAGGAGGAGGAGGATAGCTAACAATATATGTAGAAAGTTTCAAGTTTCTTATTCGGTAATAAATAACACTAAACATTGTTTCAAGGATACAAGAAATTCTCGTAATACAATAAATAAACATCAGTTTAGCTATAATTAGAAAATAATTTCCAATCCAACCAAACGAAGTTTGCAATCTCACGATGATAAAACATTTTCTCGTACAAATAGTAGTTTAGCTTTTTTTGTCAGTAAAATACCGTGGGATCGAAAAATACATCGAGTTGTTTTGAAAATGATGTTCATTGACATTTATCAGACAATTTATATAACGTATAATATGACAGCGATCTTTATTTGCAAGCTAACTCGCCGCTTTTTTTCGATCATATGTGACAGCGTCCAAGTGTACTTGAACCAAGTACACTTGGACCACCGAGACAACCTACCTTTAGTGGGCGCTATAATAGGTTTGCAAACAAATTGATCGATCTTTTTCGTTTTTGGCGGGCTGTATGGCTATAAGACGTACAGCTGGTTGCAAAAAAAATGAATACGACTCTTTACACACTTTTTTCGAATATTTGGGCAATATATTGTATATTTATGTGTCAAGTATTTTGACATGTTAAGGTGACATTGTATAAAACAACTTTGCTTTTGACAAAGTGGCAAATAAATTTTTCAGAACGTCAGCATGACATGAGTAGAGAAATGGGGGACTGGTATCATAGAATATACTGCCCGAAATAATAAAAATATGTTTTAAATCGTATTCAATTTTATTGGAACCAGCTGTACATTTTGCCCAAGGTAAGAAATGCCATACCTCATAGACGTACGTTTTAATGAATGCGGTTTGATATTTTTCGAGTCAAGAATAAACTACCCTTAGGACAGTATTTATTTGAAATCTGATAAATTATTTTGAATCCTCCTTACCTAAGATACTTAAGTTCTAATTTTTATAAATATTGATACAGGGTGTGTCATTAAAATAAGATATTTTTATTTTTATTATTATTTTTTAAGTACTTACGACGCACAGTGGAACGAGCTTATGGGAGCGGTTGGACATGAGGTTTTCTTCTCAACACTTTTAATCCAAAGGACGAAAAAATGATTTTTATATACCGTAATAATGTATAAACAGAATAATTTTAAATTTTAATGAAAGAAAGTGGTTGACTCATTACAAACCATCTACAGGGTAACCTAAAAATATAGTATGTTTTGGAAAAATCTTAGAATTTTTAAATGCTAATAAACTTTGCCAAACTGTCGTGAAATGTTTTAGTTTTGATTCTTTTAAAAAGAAATATCTTTAGATTTTACCACTGAAATCTAGGATTACTGATACCGTATTATAAAAATATGACGCATATATTTATGTGTATATGGTACACTGCTTATATTTTCCTATTTAATATAATTTTGCTAATATCTTCGGTTTGAAAGATATCAAGATGCGGTTTTCACTGACTTTTTAAGCTTTCATTACTCTTTACTGTCAGCTAAAATTACATATACCATCGCATTTAATTTTTTTGAAAAAACGCGCAATGTTTGTTAAATTGTAAGATAGCGCCCCCTAGCGTCTACGTTCAAAAGCTTACTATTTGTTTATATGGTATAATATAGAGTAAGAAACGCTCTTTTAAACGAGCCCCCATTAGTTGGATTCTGTCCATTCAGTCCGGAGTTATTAATATTTAAATAAAAACAGATCTAACCTTTCCCCACCACTTTATTTTGGCAGGTAGGGGAAAATGGTTCTAACAAATAATATTCAGAATTTACTGAAGATTATGAAGCTATTCTTTATAGTACCACTTATCTAGGCAAAATTGTGTAAAAACTCCATTTTCTTATTTTTCTATAGCAGTTGCGCCCTCTAGCGGCCATTCTACAAACTTGAAAATAATTTCCAGCAATTTCTCATAGCCTCTTTAGTTATGAATATTTTTTTCCGCAGGCCTCACGGCTAATACTTTCCGAGATATAGCCGAGAGCTATTCTTAGTGGGACACCCTGTACACTAACTTTATTATAAGCAAAGAATATAACAGTAAATCTACGCACTAGAATATTTTTAACACAAACAAAAAAGCTCAACGCTGCACTTTAACCCTTTTTCTTTTTCCAATAGTTTATAAGTTTTCCATATATTTGTAGCACCCTGTATCTGTTTTTGATTTAAGCGTCATTTTGTATTTATCCAATTAATAATTAAATATTAATAAATTTATAAGAAAATAAAGATAATTTGACTCTTGATAAAGATAATTTGATTTATTGGAATTGAAAAGGTTTTTGATTTTAGTATAGCATGTATTAGTAATATATTAAATGGAAATTTTTAGAGGGGGGCAAGCTGGGGCAAGATATTAAATTAGTTTCGTTATTAGAAAGGCTTAATCTACCTTGTGACATATATAAAGTATTGGCCAACTTTGGCCATTTTTTTATTTTTCTACATACATATTTTTTTGCTACTAAATCTAGTATTTAGTAGCAAAAAAATGTTTATGTATCTCTTATATACAATAATTGTTCTCCCAAACTTTTGTGACAATATATATCTTTTATTTTAAAGTGAAAACAATCGTTTGTACTAATATATGTATGGTTAAAAAAATTATTAATGTCTTTGCCACTTTTTATAAAACTAGGTTGTTTCACAAGAAATGAATACCATAATTAAGTCAGTGTAATATCTTCATTTGAAACTTTTCAAACAGACATATAATTAAAAATATTTTTTTGAGTTGGATAAAATATCGTTATATTTTAGTCTGGACTTTAAGTAATTAAAATCTTCTACCAAAATTATTTAATTTAAAATTTTATTTTTAAGTCAATGTCCAACATTTTATATTCTTTTATAGTCTTTCCACCGTGCGACGCCACTGGATAAATAACTGGTTTATTATTAATAACCAATTATATTCAATTATCAATTAATAATCGATTTAAGTTTGGTCGAAGATGGTTGAAGATGTTGACTTTTAGTTCGTCATAGTTTTATAAATCTTTGTTTAGAAGCATATTTTTCAAAGTTAATAATAATTGTTTTAAATACCTATTTGGATTATTTAAAATATTCCTCAATAAAACGAATAATTATTTCAGATTCCATTGAAAACTGGGTTTTTAAATTATTTTGTAACTCATTTTATTCATTTGTATTAGCAAACTTAAAAAACAATTTTTTAAAGTAAACAAAATAGATTGAAAGTACTTAGTTTTTTTGTATCGTATTTTAATTATTATGGAAGCTATCTGAAAACCTGAATCGATTATTAATTGATAATTGGTTATTGACAATAAACCAGTTGTTTATCCAGTGGCGTCGTAAATACTTAAAAAAATAATAATAAAAATAAAAATGTCTTATTTTAATAACACACCCTATACCAATATTTATAAAAATTAGAACTTAAGTATCTTGGGTAAGGAGAATTCAATATAATTTATCAGATTTGAAATAAATACTGTCCTAAGGGTAGTTTACTCTTGACTCAAAAAATATCAAACCCCATTAAAACGTACGTCTATGAAGTATGGCATTTCTTACCCTGGGAAAAATGTACGTCTTATAGCCATACAGCCTCCTGCCAAAAATGAAAAAAATCACTCAACAAACAATCAAGATATTGGCTTGTATCCATCTTAAGTAGGACACCCTGTATATGTAGATTGAGAGGAAGAGAAGAGGGACCTATTGAAACTTGTCTGTGGTCTTTGTTTAGTTCGATATTATATAAGGAAAGTAACCGTTCAATTATGTCGGGAGTAGCAAGTAATCGTCTGTTGACATATATATTGACGTGTAAACTAGGGATGGGAAGACCCGGTTCATTCCCGTGACCCGTGTCTCACCAGGTCATTCATTGAAATGACCCGTTCATCATGATTCGTTCATATGAATGATCGCTTTACTGTATTTCAGTGTAACTTATTCAGAACATTCGAAACTTGGAACGCTGAATGAAATGATGCATGAATGATTTTATCTTAATCATTATGAAGAAATATTATCGCGATCGCGATAACGCGATGCCAAGCTTGATTAACTAATAATGTGAAAACAATATAAGACGTAAATTACGGTAAATTAAATATTAAAATGCGGCTCGGATGTTTGCGTTGATCGTTGAACGGGCCGGGGTTTAATTCGACGCAATACGTGAAAAGAGTTCGTTTGGTTCGTTTTTCATTTCAATCTTCAATGATCCGATCGTTGTTTTAGGTTCAAATTCAGTAAGACACGTAGGAGAGGATTTTGTGTTTCGGGTCATATGATTGATAGGGTCACGTGAGGTGACAGAGTCAATCACGGGTCTTTCTAAAGATTCGATCATTGTGATGATCGAATCATTCACGAACGACACATCTCTAGTGTAAACAACTGCGGATTTATTAATGACTTATTTTATTACTCTTACTATTATTCAGAAATATAAATGTCTATCTTTCCTTTTATAGTTTAGGTGGTGGTACCTTCTTAGGCCTTTGTTGTCTTTTGACAGGATGTAATTCATTTGAAGAAGCTATAGGACTGGCAGCTGAAGGGGATCATACACATGTAGATAAATTAGTTAAAGATATATATGGTGGAGATTATGCTAAATTTGGTTTACCTGGAGATTTAGTAGCTAGCAGGTTAGTGAATATTTTCATTTTATCTTTATACAGTCTAAAGAAGCATATAAAAGTTATGTTATTTCGTAAAGATAAATTGTTGTAAAGTTAAAAAACAATGTTATTTTGTACATTGTTATATTTAGTACATTTTTAAAATGCAAGAATAGCAAGTATATTATAAGACTATATTGCTCGTAGCGCATTTACACAATGTGTGAAAAGCGAAATCGAAGAAAAGAAATAGGGATACCAATCTTGCATAAGTCTATCCTTTTGGTTCAACAGGGTTTTCGTGCGCACGCATCAAATAAAACGATCTGATTCGTCTACTTCATCGCTGAACGCTGTCACCTGCTCGCGCACTGTTTTAAACTCTAAATATTAATAACACCTGTTTAGATATTCATGAAATATAGGTATCTATCCGTTTCTTATTTTTGTTTAAAGAGATTAAATTTAAATGTATAAGTAAAAGCACGCAGATGCTAACTTGATTTACATAGTAGATAGAAACCCTGAAAACTACTTGTATTGGTTGGTATGAAAATAGATCAACTAATCGCAACGCAATTTTCACACTTGCGTAGTTCAACGCTGTTGAACGAAAAGGACCGACTTATGTAGGTTTTGTATAGCTCCATCTCAAAAATTTGGCTTCAATTTCTGTTCCTTACTAGCAACATATGACGCAATGATTTTCATGAAGAATTCATAAAACATTTAATCACTAGTTGATTAAAAAAGTATACCATTAATATTGCACACACACACAAATTATATTTCATCCTCTCATAGTATATGTCTATTTAATTTTTTGATTATGCAACGAGCACTTTTTTACTCACTTGTTTCGTCGAACTGTTTGAATCCATTTTTGTTATTGATCAAATCGGTGTAAGAAATTATGAAGCTATAAAATGTTGTTTCGGAAGAGTCGAATATCCGGAAAAGTTGAGTTATTGAATGTTATTGCACCCAACAACGCCCTAATTACGCCCTCCTTTACGCGTTAACATTTTTTGGGCAATTTTATTAACATTTGAAATTGTCACAACACAACAAGACGCCTAGTTCGAGTTCTTTTTCACTTAATTTTTACTACCCGCAACAGCCTTACATCACACAAACCTCGTACCTGAGTGTTTTATAGTATCAATAACGGCACTAGCAAAAAACTAAAATACTTAAATATTAAACAAACTGACAAAACGCCGATTTCAATATTATTTTAATGCGATCGATATGACTGCGGCGTCAACTATATGTTGATCATTTCTGATTTCTGCCGTAGAGTGCGCTGCGGTCGGAATTTGTTGAAATCAACTGAAATGCACCAAGTCTATAAAAATTATATTTTCAAGTGCATTTGTACTAAATAAGCATATTACTCTGTTCTAGTTTTGGACAAATGAATTCTAGAGACAGGCGAAGCAAAGTAAGCAGGCAGGATCTAGCGAGGGCTACTTTGGTTACAATAACTAACAATATCGGGTCAATAGCGCGAATGTGTGCCATTCAGCAAAAAGTAGAAAGGGTAAGTTAATTATTATTTTTACACAAAAAACTTGTGTAATACAATTTTTTTTAATACAACTCGACCAAAATACTTTAGGTTTATTACTTTTTATCAGCTCTTTATATATTTTTTATATAATTTGAAAAAACCGTCATATTTTTGAATAGTCTACCATGGGTGGCACGCTGTAAACGAAACAGCGATCCTTAGTGATTAAGAATCAGGGTTGGCATGATTTAAATCAAATGACTTAAATCATGATTTAAATCAAGTGATTTTTTTAATTTTAATCATTGATTTAAATAAAAAAATAATAATTTTATTAAAACTTTATTATAAATCAAAAAGTAACTGTAAAAGTTTTAAAAATGTGGCCTAGAAAACTATAAAAAATATTTCTATAAAAGATATAACAGATAATAAATCGAAAAATAAGTGTAAATGTTATAAAACTATATAAAAATCTCTATTCATCAATTTAATGTTGGACCGATTTTTGAAGTAATTTCGTGTGAATCCATTAGACCGCTAAACGCAGGGATTTATTTTAAAATTTATGTATAAGTGACAAAAATTCGCTGTTCGATTACATATCATTCGCAGTCTAGTGCAGAACTAGCTGATATAGAGATTATATCTTCATTCCCGAGAATCTATAATAATCGTTGTCAGGAAATATGTTGTTTTATATTTTTTTTGAAATGGTTGCATTATTTCAAAATTCTTACCGAAATTTTGATCTGCAGTAAGTATTTTACACTTTGACATTAGATAATACTAATTTCATTCTCGACTTAAGAGTATTTCCGAACATAGTGTATTGTTTTATTAGGAGTAAAAATTATACTTTTTTTGATGATGCTGTACCTTTGAAGGATCATCGTAAAGCTATTCCGACGTTACAAGGAAGCACAAAAAGTACATTTTTACTCCTAATAGAACATACATACTATTTTTTTAAAACATTATAAATAATTTTTAATCAATTTCAAACATTACAAATAATATAAACAGTAATCGAGCAACAATTTGTACACTCGTTGAATATGACACTTAATATCAGTTTAATAATATATTTTTGTACTTTCGTGCTTAGGCGTAACAGTGCTTTACTTTTATACCTAGGCGTTAAAATGACAAAAATTACTAGTTTTAAATCCTTTTGATCTGAAGCGAGCGACTTTTTTGCGAAATATATTGGTGACCAATTATTAATGTTATCGATAAAGGGCAGAGTTATACAGATTTAGCCATTTAGAATAGGACTTTAATTGGAAATAAGTCCTAGTCATTTGGAAATCCGATTTAAATATTGTTTTGAATTAAAATCAAAAAAATCCGACTTAAATCAAATAAATCTGATTTTTTTTATTTTTTTAAAAAAATCATGATTTTTTCCAACCCTGTTAAGAATACGCTTGCCGTTTAGTTTCTATGGCCAAGCGACAGTATTTTTCATCGCTACCAATCTCTATTTATTTACCACCCCATTCTTCTACCATGAAACCAGCATTCTGTCAATATATACATGGTGAATCTTAAATAAGTGCAAATATTTTTAGGGGTGGTATATTTCGACCCCAGAAACACGTCTATGAGCTTTTTTTTGCAAACAATTTTTTCAAAATTTGGAATTTTTTTAAAAAAAATTTGGATTGGTAATAAAAAAAAATTTAAAAAAACATATCTTCATAATATCGCAACATAGCTAGTAGATTAAATTTACAAGAAAGAAAACCCAGAAAAGATCCAGCGGTTCTCAAAAGATATGTGCAAAATAATTTTTTTTTTATTTATTTTCAAAGTAAAATATCTCAGTTATTTTGGACTTGTTTAAAATATGATAAAGAGAAAATATACGTTTCTTTTATCGAGATCTACCAGCGCCAGCGCTTAAAATATTTGCACTTATTTAAGACTCATCCTGTATATTTCTTCAGAAAGCAAACTCCCTTTAGTGTCGCATAAGTAAACGTCATTAGCGTTACTTGGAATTCAACTTTGTGTCATTTTTTTACAGAGGAAAAAATGCCCTCTTTTAAGCTTCTCTGTAGTGCGGTTAAATGATCCAAAAATGTTAACAAAATACAACACATTAATATCAATTTTATTTCAGGTCGTATTCATAGGAAATTTTCTGCGCGTTAATCCTATAGCTATGAAATTATTAGCTTACGCTATGGAGTATTGGTCAAATGCTTCTATGAAAGCATTATTCTTGGAACATGAAGGGTACTTTGGTGCTGTAGGCTGCTTACTTCAGTATCATGGCGAGACGTGAAGTCCTCCATGACAAACCGTGAGCAGACTCGATCAAGTGGCTTATTCAGTTATTTTATTAAAGTTATATGTACCATTCCATTATTTGGATTTTTATAAGTTTTTATTTATATTAAGACGTATTAATGTAAAGGGTATACTATAGGTCTATATCTACAATAGGTTTTTAATATTTATTTTGTGCAATGGGATATTTTTATAAACATTTAGTAGGTTACATTTTTTAATACCCATATAAATGTATTTAAATACATAAATTAAGATATTTAAACTATGATTTCATGTTGAAGATAGCTTTATATCCATTTTAGAAACGAAACAATTTTTAATATTTGTGCAGGAAGTTTTTATACATATATTTTTTAATTTATGATTTAGTTCCTTAAAATGGGTACATATTGGTGTTTTTATTGAAAATATAAAACAAAAGTTAAAAAAATAGATTTAAGGATTATTAAATATGTTTTTTTATTTATTAAATTATCATTATTTTAAGTATTGCTTTTATTTAATTCACAATTTTCACCTGATTTTTAAAAATATATGACATTAACATTCTAATTATAAAAGAGGTAATTCCCCAAGAAAGAAAGGTATGTCAAGATGATATATGTCAAAATAATTTTTTTTTATTAGCACACTGAGGAATTTCCGATTGCCGAATTTCTTTTTTCTCTTCAGGGCACCTTGTATATTAACACCAAAATAATCATATACGTACTTTTTACAAAACGTTATTCTAGACTAGACTCTTCAATTTTTATTGGAATTCATTACTATTTGTATTTTTAATAACATTTAAAACAATTTAAATACAATTTTTGTAAAATTTAATGTTACCACAGAAAATTACTTAACTTAGTTTAATTGTTTTTAGCAAGTTTTTATATTCATATTTTGATTAATATGATCAAAATATACATAGTTGCGAAATGTGCGTCAAACGTTTAAAATTAACTCTTCAGCGAGTACAGTTGTGGCATTAATCGAGGAGTTACAAAGTGAAGTTTTTTTACAAAAATATATTTTTTTACTTATTTGACATAACGATTTTATATATAAATAATATAAAAAATTGTATAAATTCAATAAATAATCATAAATTAATAACTATTCTGCTTGAGCATTTGGACTTATTAAACTCTCAGTATTATTCTTACTTTCAGTTGCAGAACTCCGACTAGAAATACTTTGTGTAGAGTGACTTTTCATGTGTTTTTTCAAGCTGGTTGAATCATAATATCCGTTGCCACACACAGCACAAATAAATGGTGTTTCTCCTGTGTGTATTCTTATATGTACCTAAAACAGTATGCAAAATTATATTATCAAACGTTATCATACGATTTTATGTTACTCGTTCTTTTTTCAAAAAAAAAAAAAATTAAAATCTAATAGTTAAAATTATTGTATTTACTAGATATTGGTTTATGGTAAGTGTCATACATTTTCCATCCGAATTCAAACAAATTTTGACAGTAATTAGTCATCCGTTGCGTAGAACATAACTAATTTACAATTGCATAGAAAAATATTAAAATTATTTAATAATGTCCAAGTCACAATTAATAAAAGTAAAAAAATCAACAGTATTTAACATTCAAAGTACTACTACAAATTAGGTATACTATATGTATACAGATAAAAATCTTATCCCTAATTCGTGGTAAGAAAATTGTTTTTTATGACGATGTGCAAACGAGTAAAATTTCCTGTGCGCAAAAATAAACTCGCGTAAAATAACAATAAACAGCGTATTAGAGAGATCGCTAAACCGAATAGCGTGCATGGACGTTAATAAGGCCAGGTGTTATTTCCTTTACGTGAGGTGGTATAAATGGCTCTCTTCATTTATACTTATCGGATCGGAAAGAATTCTGTTCGCATCGCGTCCGCTATTTAAACTTAACCTAACTTTGAATTTAAAACTTTGAAACTGTTTTGTTTACTAGGTATTTTAACACTAAAGGGCTAAAGTGATTATTTCCAGTGCTTTATTGTTCAACGTCTGCCAGTGGGTTTAGGGCAACAAGCAACAAATTCTCTTAGAAGGGCTAAGTCGTTATCTGCTGTAAACCTAAGCTTCTTTATATGTTCTTTAATATTGGAAGAGGTGGAATCCATATTTATTTAATTAAAACTAATCCCCGCTACTTAAATATCAAATTATCTAATAAAACTAAAGTAATAATTCAAAACAAATCAAACATAACCTAAAATAAAAGATCTCGCCGGCCGACCCCGGTTGCCCTGGTTGTCAAATACCCCCACATACCTATTTAAGCAATTTTTAAACGTTATTTAGAAATAGCGTTTGGTGTAATTGATCCGCAGATTACTTCAGGCGGTAACGTTATTAGCGGGTGTTGCGTTAAAAATTGACTCGCGCATATCGTAACCATGATAAGGTACGCGTAAATACTGCATGGCGCTATTCGGTTTTCCGATATCTCTCTAATAACTGTGCCGGTCAGGCGCTGTGCACAATTTTAGAGGCCATAAGTGCAATGTGCGCAAACTAGTAAAACTAGTGCCCGATTCCGAAAATTGGAACTACATCTGTATAATCTGTGGTACTAGTACACCAATGCAGAGTTTTTTGAAAGGCGTATTTTTGGAATCAAAATAAGTTCATTGGACACAATTTAGCTCTATAGAAAAGTGCTTCGTTTGTCTGTTAGAGGGCATCAAATAGGGGTTAGAGGCATATACTTATAAACTAAACAAATTATCGCCTATCCTTGCAATGTGTTGGAGTCAAGCCGAGTTAGAGACAACTAGATAACCGGTCCATGCATATTTCACATAACTTCGTCTGTTATGCAGACACTGGCGCAATAGCGCAACTCAAAAATTTCGAATGTTGATTAGCCCTTACTCGGAGGAGCCAATTGTCGAACAGGGGCGCAAAAAAGTTAAACGAAGCCGTACGAATGAACAGCTGGTGTTAGCGTCTAGTCTCTTATTGATCTAGTTATCCGATCGATAATACAAAATCCAGGCTTGCGCACTATGCTTGAGCACGCCTAACTGAGCGACTTATGCAAATTCCTTCAGAAGATTTCACCGGCTCGGCTTCACAGAATGCAGTTTAGAATCGATATAGTTACTTTATATATGGTTAGAGGGCATCAGATATTTTAAGAACCGTTATTCCGATTTGAATGAAATTTTGGGCGTCTATGTCCTCTAACATTTGACTTTCACAAAAATCAATAAAAGGTACGAGAAAGTTGAAAGCTACCCTCACCCCTACATAAATTTTAGTATAAATATTTTCCAACTCAACCGACGACCGATTTTTTTTTGTAAAACGGTCCTTTTATTTACTACAGTTTTTATCTCTTTTTAAAAAAAGGCCACCGCGGATACTTTTTGAGAAAAAAAAAATGTTTTTCCGAAGCTAATTTCCAAAAAACGTTTTTTGCCACATGAAGCTATGGAGGCGCATAAATAAAAATATATTATGCTCTAATAATCTAGTTGGCGAAAATATGGAATTTTATGTTAGTAACACAAATTATACTTGACAATAAGCTTCATAAAAAGTTTAATCAATAAAAAAAAATTAATAAATTTTAAATTAATTCACGTTCGGGTTTATTTTTTATTGATGGTCTCTTAACGGACAAACAAAGCACTTTTGTATAAAGGTAAATTATGTGCGATTAACTTATTTTGATTCAAAAAATACGTAATTCTTCTATGTCCACGGAATATTGGAACTCCCTGTATATTTTGTAGGTTTGCTTTGGTAATTCTCAAAAAAAAATTCAAAAACTATGCGATATAGCGTTTTTTTACAAGAGACAAAAAATGTAGTAAATACTAGAGGGACCATTTTACGAAAAGAAAAGCTGTCGTCGGTGGAGTTGGAAAATATTACAACTATATCTTAAAAATGTGTTTATTTATTTAAAGTTTGATGCCCTCTAGCGGACAAACGAAGCACTTTTGTATAGAGGTAAATTGTATCCAATGAACTTATTTTGATTCGTTAAATATGAAGTAGTTCTATGTCCATAAAATATTGGGACACCTTGTATATTAGATTATAAAAAATACCGGATTTCTCTAATACATACCTTTAAATTACTTTTAAAAGCAAATTGTTTTTCACAAAAGTTGCAAACAAAGGGTTTTTCACCAGTGTGCGTTCTCATGTGAACTTTTAAGTGTCCAGCTTGAGTGAATAACTTTTCACATATTTCACAGCGATAAGGTTTTGCTCCGGAATGTGTAAGTTTGTGATTATTGTAGGTACTGTATTGACGGAATCTTTTGCCGCAATCGAAACATTCGTAAGGACACTCTCCGGTATGCGTTCTGATGTGTGATTTTAACTGAGCTTTGGTGACGAAATCTGAAAATATAGATAAGTAAAATAATTTTATAATAAACAAGCCTATGAAATGAATAAAATTATTATACGTTTACAACTTGTGTCTATCGATGAAGCCAAGAGAATAGTAGGGTTGTAGCAACCGAAGCTGAAAATACAAGGCATATGGAAATGCAGAAGGCTAGAATTAGACCCTGAAACCCTGAAAAGACCTGTGTTTGTAGAGAAACTGTGACCTTTTTAATTTATTATTTTAATTTATAATGTGATTTAAAGATTACGGTATCGCTCATCTCTATCTTAACTGAGTAGGCGAAGTAGTAGCCGCAAGCCGTGGTAGGTCTGTATAGATTTTAAGGCTTGTCTGCGAACATGTGTTGATAATCACTGTGATATGTAGCTGCGAGGGTCCTTGACAGCGAATAAGCATAAATGCATAAGGCACTAAAGTTGTTAAGGATTCATAAAACTCAAATGCCCTAAACGAGCTCCTTAAACCCAAAAAGTGCCCAGAAAATAAAGAAAATCATTCGCGATAACGATCACGATCACGGTTACACCCTGTAGGTATACATAGGTATAAATTAAACATGTGAACTATTATACAGGGTGCTACAAATTCGAGGTACGAGCATTGGTATCTCGAAAACCGTAATAGATACGAAGATGGTTAAATTGGGGCAAAGTTGCGCCTTGGGCTGTTCACCAAGATACCATCAAAAAAGTTTTAAAAATTTCAAGGATTGCTGAGTTTTTTGGAAAAAACGGATTTTTTTGAAAACTATTTTTTCCTGTCGTTACTTTTTAGAAAATCAAAAAACTAATTGCACATTCTCATAGCCACTCTATTAGGACTATCTGATAGTATTTTTAGATTTTCAAATTATCTGATAATTTGTGAGATACAGAGGCCATCTTATTTTTTTTTAAATACGGACCTGCATTTTTTATGTAGTAAATAGTTTTGTATGCAAAAAAAAGTTCTTTGGCGCATCAGAGAACTTTAGCATTTATTTCTCTTGATTTTCTCATTTCATCCCGAATTTCAAAAAGCAAACAAAATAACGACATAAGTATACTACTCTTAAGTTCAAAAGAAAAGTTACAATAAATAATAATTGGCCTTTAACTCTGATGGTACGCTGTTCCCTCCAGACTTGTCAAACCAAGTGGCATTGCTTCATTTTGATGAGACGGCAAAAGACCGACAAGGTATGACAGCATAGACTTAAAATAAAATATAGAGTGAGCATCTCATTCATAAATAGCTGGAAAATGCGGTAAGACAATGTCTTGTTATTGTTTTAGGTTCTAACGAGTGCGACACAAGCGATAGATAGGTTGTCTCCGTCGTAACGGTCGTCCCCTGAGGACTCTGACGAGAAATGCAACACTGTCTTTCGTTTCTCAGTACACCTGAACTCTCCCTATCATAGCCGGTTAAGTTATTTTTTTTATTTTAATGAAGCTATAATGCAATTAAAAATATATCGTATTTAAACTTTTTTATATTTTATTAAGATTTAGGAGAGGTTATTTAAATAAAAGTTTAGAAAAAAAAACGTCTTGAGTCCAAAAACGATAAAAATAATAAAATACATGTTACAGAAGAACTTTTAATAATCGAAATTACGTATTTAATTTTTGAAATGAATAATAAATTATTAATTTTAGTCAAACATTTACAACCCTAATATTAATCAAAACAGGATCTATTCTATAGATATAATAGAATCGGCGACAGGTAAAGAGAAAAAACTTTATTTATACTAATTTTTTTCTGGTAAGTGATGTCTTATTATGTAAATTAGAGAAAACAGAAATCTGTTCCATTAAAGCAAGCTTTTAGGAAGTGGATAAAAGGAAGACTACATTTATTTAACTCGGTACTGTCTTTATTATACCGGGTGCGTCCCAAAAGTGTCCCATATTTTTTTTATTTTTTCAAATAAAAAAATTAACAAGATAATAACAAGATTTGGTATGTTAGAATATGACATAAATTAGGATTGATTGACGCATTCAATTTTTTTTGGTCTATAACTTTTGATTTTTAAATGGCACCCTCGGTATATTTCTACTTTAAGCCCCGTTCTCAGAACAACGTCGTGTCGCTGGCGACACAGTTTGACATTTCAAACAACCAATGGGAGCTGTACTAAATTTAAAATTGACAGCTGTTTGAATTTTGTACAAATCTCATTGGTCCTCTTGACGTGTCGCTGGCGACAGTCGCTGTTCTGAGAACGGGGCTTTATTCGATAGAAAATGACACTCTGAATAGAATGACATATCATATGTCAACTTTTGACATTTTCGCATATATTTATATATCGGTTTAATTGAAATTGTAACACGCGGTTCATAATGACAATTTGACTCGAAATACCAAGCGTGTGGTATCAATATATTCATAAAAAAATGCTTTTCCAAATATGCTAATGAGTCATCCTTGTTCAATTTGAAAAAATTGACATATGATTAAAAATACGATTTGTGCATCTTTTAACCGGCCTAGACAAAACACGAAAAACATTAGACGATCAAAACTATTTTTCCAAGGCTTCTTGATTAAAACTTAGTGTTTTTAACACCGCCATGGCACCGTGGATTGAAATTTAAAATACGATTTGTTTTTAAGCGACAATGTCAAAAGATCTTTTAATTAGTTAAAAAGAAAGTTAATCTTTTTATTCAAAGGTTTATTTGATATTTTACTAATTTTTATTTAGTGTAAAGTTTATCTGTTCATTGTACAATTTATCATCTTGTTATTAAGTAATATTACAATTTTGTTACCAAAATAATAGGTGTTTTATATTCTTATTTTCAGAACAAAAAATTGAATTTAATTGTTAGATAATTCAAATCTATTAAGGGCGAAAATATTGGAAGATGACACCTATATAACCAATACAAATACTTAATATATGGTAAATTAGAGATACCTTTTCCACATTCATTGCATAAAAATCTCTTTTCCCTAGGTTCGTCTTGATGCAAAGCCATGTGATTGACCATTCCTCTTCTACTCGCAAACACCTTTTTACATATGTTACATTCCAGTTGCAAATATAATTGTTTGTCCTCAGTCTTGTCAACTTCACCATTGATTAATTTATGACGGTAAACATGTATAAAGTGGTTTGCATATCTTTTAAAACCTTTTCCACAGTAAGTACATACATAAGGAGTATTTCCAGTATGGATGTTCATATGCTCGTTCTTGACTTGTGCTCTGGAAAAAGCTACAAAATGATACTATAAGTATATCATTTATAACTGTAATCTTATATTTATATTATATAACATTACAGTAAAGCTGCATTATATAGTACCTTTCCCACAAATCTCACAGATAAATGCCTTTATTCCTTTATGGATTAGAGTATGTCTTTTCAAATTTTGCTGAAATCGAAAACCCTTTCCACACTCTTCACATTCATATGGTTCTTCTTTTGTGTGACTTCTCATATGTATGACTAGCTTATGTCTTTGATTAAACACTTTGCTACATTCTGAACAGTTATAATGATGATGTGAACATTCTGGATGCTCTTTAAAATGCTTATGAAGCTTTACTCTTGATAGGAAAGTAGTCTCACATTTACTGCAGGTGTTGTCCTCCTTTTGTTTATTGTCACTTTGCTAAAATTCATTATTTTTTTATTAAATCTGCATATTAAAAGACATAAACAGCACAAGATACCAAACATACATTTTTAACAATTTACCTTTTTATCATTGAAACAGTTTCTTTTGTTTTTAAGCAATTTACTTCTTTTTTTCCTTTTATCAAAACTTTTTCTAATTAATTCATTTTCTTTAATATTCAAATTTCCACCTTCACTGGTATAACTCGAATTAGATTCTTGCTCTACACAATAATCAATATCTTTGTCTTTTAATTCAGTTAGATTATCTGTTGATACAGGTATTTTCTCTGTGTTGATAGATTCATCATATACAGTTTGTAATAAATTAATATTATGCTTTGCTTTGTCGACAAACACAGAAAAGTTGTTAAATAATTCTTCACAAACATAACATATATTTTCTGGAGTTATACATCTAAGCTAAAATGCAGATCTTTAGGTTTATATTAAAATTGGTTAAAGGGTTGTTTAAAGTAAAGATCAGTACCTCTATTCCGGTAATTATTGTGAATAAATTAGTAGATGGAATGTCTGTAATCAATTTTAGATTGTTATGTTTTTCTAAACAAAAATAACACAGGTACGGTATATCTTCTCTGCTTATTTTTCTATCCATATTTTCCGGTTCTTATTTAACACAGCTAATTTAATTTAAAAAATAATATTAGATAATATAATACATATCATTAAAACCACTATGATAAAAACATTCAAAAAATCAAAACGGCCTTCAAAATCAAAACAAACAAAATTTTGAGGTTAGAAAATAAATGGGATGTCCATGCAGTGTTGCCAGTATTGGTTCCAAATACGTTTAAATAAAAAGTCGGACTTTATTTTAAACGTATTTGATTGGTTCCAAATTTGTTTCTGAGTTTGCACCGGTTTGCACACTGGGGACTGAGGTTCCTAGATATTGGATATGTACAGGGTGAGTCTTAAATAAATGCAAATATTTTTAGGAGTAGCATCTGGTATTTAGTATATTTCGACGCGACCCCAGAAACACGACAATACGACTATGAGGTTTTTTTCGCAATTTTTTTTTTGGAAATTCGGAATTTCTTAAAAAAAAACATTTTCCAAAAAGAGGGATTCTGAAAATACCTTATGACCGAAAAAAAAACGGCGTCCAGTTGGCTTGGGAATGACGATCAATGACATTCCCCATATAATTTTACACATAGGAACGAAGAATATTCAGGAGGGGGGTTAATCACGGCGACCTTACAGATCTATTGTGTGTTCCCCTTTCTTGAGTTATAACGGGTTATAACTCATCATACAGTCTCAGGGCTTTGACAAAAGCCAGTATCTGAGACGGCTCCACAGGTGCTAGCTCACCATCTTCGACATCAGCCGTATCAAAGTTTATTCATGGTACAAATGGTTGTCGTCTCGGCGCACTTAGTAATAATAAGGTGTTCTGGTGTTTCCCCATTTTCCCCACAGAATCTGCATTCGCCGTTGTTTCTCAGTTTGAGTCTACTGAGGTGTTCGTTGAGGAGACAGTGTTCTGTTAGAAACCCCGTGGCAATCTAAAGATAGTTTTTACTTAAATCAAGGAAAATATTTTTTTGTTAGCGGTCGTAAGTTCTCAAAAACATTTTCGAGTGTTTTAGACCGTTGGAGGATCCAGTTAGTGGAGTGTTCGCTCCTTTTCCAGCTAGATTGTCTGCCTTTTTATTGCCTTCTATCCCTTGGTGAGCGGGCACCCAGAGTAGGAGGACTTTATTTCTTTGCCTAATTTGTTTAGCTTCTCTAAGCATTCTTTGACTAAATTCGAATCGATGGTTTATTGAGTTGCTTTTAGTGCTGTCTGACTATCGGATAAGATGGATTTTGCTGTTTTCGATAGGAATCTAAGATATAAATTGTAGTTACGCATCTTTCGATAGTGTAGATTTTTGCTTGAAGTATGCCGGGATGGGTGTCCATTGGTTCGGAGGATTTCGTTTTCGGCCCAATCCTTTTTTGTCCAATTCTTTTTATTGCTCCATCCACTGGAAGTTGGGAGAGTGGAATTTTCTTTTTGAGGGTTGTTGCACGCCCCTGACCTGAGAATTCTCACAGTACTGTTTCCGTCAATGGCCATTCTAATCATAGGCATAGGCATCATTGGCATATCTATCGACGACAATGTGTAGTAGTGTTAGGTCTAGGATGACCTTCATCGCTGCTGTTGGGCATGTTCTTATGGCACCTGTGATGCAGATGTATGTCAGTCTTTGTACTTTACACAGGTTTTGCCTTGCTGTACGTTGCTCTAGTTTTGTGTACTGCGCAAAATGTTAGGGGCGCAGCCCCATCTATAATCTTTTGCATATCCTGATATACGAATAAGAGCCTTTGTGACTTTGCTGGTAATGTTCTTAATATGCCTGTTCGAGGGAAGTTTAGTGCCCAGGGTTATTCCCAGATATTCTACTTCCTGTGATGGCAGTATTATCTTTTCACCTAGATGGATTCTTTTCAAGTTTTCCAGGCGTCGCTTCTGGTGAACGGCACTACCGCGGTTCTGTCTGAGTTATTGCTCAGCCCGCCAGTCCTGCACCATCTCTCAGTGATACGGAGTCCACTTTGGATAATATCACACAGGGTGTCTTTATGTTTACCCCGAGCGGCGCGGCGTAGTCTTACAGCGCATTAAGATGGAGCGGACAGTCCGTCCGTCGTGTTTTTTCAAGACAGCCGTCGGACGAAATTATCCGGACGCGACCCATGTGAAATTGTCCATATAAACTCTTCTAACCTCTTTGATATAAACCCATAGTACTTGCTCGAAGTCGCGGACCGGACGGTCCGCTCCATCTGAAAGCGCTGTTAGCTACAGGCGAGGCGTTTGAAGCGTAGTCTTAGCCCGTGGTTACATTGGATGCGTGTCCGTGCGTTTTTTTGGTCGTACGTGCTCGGACGTGCACGCACCAAAAAACAAACAAATGGTATTTACGCAGGCGGTTACATTGCATCGGAGTTTGCGCGTCCGTGCACGTACATCATTTCCGTTGGTCGGATGAAAACAAACTGGTTTGTTTTTCTAATACGTGCACGTCCGAGTGTTCGAATTTTTATATCTCTGGGCCCAATACATTCCCGAAAAATTTGAATATTTTTGAATTCCAGGTTTATTTTTATTTTAGATGTATTAATGTTGCTGGAAACATTCTAAAATATTCAAAAAAATTGACCGATTGCTGTTTTAATTCACCAAATATTTTACAAATTCATTTTCTTCCCCTTTTCTTGCATATAAATCATTTACCTAACATTTTTTTCTGTTCAGAAGTAGTTATTTTAACATTAAATCCTCAGACAGCATCAAAGTAGTGGCGTCAGTTTTAACAAACTCGACACACAGGACACCATGAACGCGCATCTAATGTAACCACTAAAATAAAATAGTCGTGCGAGTAAATTCCGTCAGAGCTCGCACGTTTAAAACAACGCACGGACCCGCGTCCAATGTAACCGCGGGCTTAGCCAGTGGCAGATCCACGGGTGTGGGGGGCTTTGGGAACTCAAGCCCCCCACCCCTCTTTGAGTTCAGTCAAATGATACGATATTACTAATTTATTTTGTCACAAACAACAAACGACTCTGGAGTATGTACTTTAAGTAAAGTTTTGAGTGTAGCCTCCCCTTCCGGAATGCTGGATCCGCCCCTGGTCCTGGCTTTTATTCTTAATCTAAGGTCCTGGCTACATTAAGGTTCGTATTCATTATCCGAACGAACGAACGAATGAAAGTGCGGTATATTTAGACGGGGACCGAACGCATGCGGCCGTTCGTTCGTTCGTTCGCTCGACCATCCGTTTCGAGTCGGTACATCAAAAGCGTTCGCGTCCAGTCTTCTCGTGCGGTTCTATCGTACGGTCCCCGTCCATACCACTAGCGAACATTCGTTCGTTCGTTCGGATAATGAATACGCACCTTTACCTTTCTTGTATACCGCACAGCTCCAGTACTCCAGCTCCAGTGGAAGCTGTACCTTGATACTCGCAATGCGGGTAAATGCTATATACGGGAGACTATTATAATTTATTTTTACGACTTTTACGTTTAGTTACATTCGTGATTAATATCTTTGGTTTCTGACACCTACAAAAATTTTATTTTTCCTTCTAAAATATTTTTTATGGGAAATAACGTTTTTCTCTTTAATTTTTTAACTCTTCAAATGCATTTTTCGCGTTTTGATCGCTAACCATTTTCCAATATTTTAGAATTCAAGCAGGAGCGTAATAATCAACTAATATTAATTCAATAAATAATTTATTAATTCTACAAAAATTTAAAACAGCCAATAACAAAAATTTATAGAGAATATTGTCAATTTTAATTATTTTACTTAATTTAACAACAATATGATTCACATTCATAAATCGTAATAAATACCTTCAATGTTGGCATATACAGGGTGTTAAAAAATAGTGTATAGCCCTCGAAAAGTTAAATAAAAATAATATATTCTGTATATCTTTAAGAACATTGGTAAACCGTTTTTCTTGAAATTTGGTACTCACATTTCAATGCCAAAGCGAATGGCAATCGTGTAAAAATCCGTAACAGCCTTGAAATGGTACTTTCCATTAGGTTAAGGAGTACTAATGGTGGTACTTCTTTTATCTTTACAGTTACAGTAAGTTTTTTTACATTTTATCATTTCACTAATATTAAAATCGATGCATCGTAACTTTTAAACGCAAATATCTTGGAAACCGTTCACCGTTTCGAACTAAGCAAAGAGTATCATTTTTGCTTAAAAGTTCTAGATTTTTATGTCATTTATTGAAATTACTGTATCTATAAAGATAAAAGAAGTACCACCAGTAATCATTCCTCTCAAGAACAAAGGTAAGAAAGAAAGTACCCTTTCAGGGTACTTTCTTTCTTACCTTTGTTCTTTGAGTACCTTCGTTTCTTGGATCCACACCGTCCTCGAAAAGGCGGAACGGCGCCGGCGCCGGCGTATCGTCTTAACGACCTTGAATCGATTTCCAGCAATTCTATTGGCTGAAATTTTTCGAAAATTCATCTGTTAAAAATGTCAGCCAATAGAATTGCTGGAAATCAATACAAGGTCGTTACGCCGATACGCTGTTCCGCTTTTTCTAGGATGCTATGCATGCACCCTCACGGATGTTACGGATTATTACACTGTCGCCATTCGCTTTAGTATTAAAATGTGTGTAAGAGTATCAAATTTCAAGAAAAATCGTGTACCAATATTTTTAAAAATAAAATATATTATTTTTACTTACCATTTCGAGGGATGCAACTTTAGGGCATATGTTCATAGGAACTGTTTGTTTTATTTTTATTTGTAGAATCACTCAATAAAGTCAAATACATTATTTTTTCGACACCCTGTATTTTATAAATAATATACATAAATATTTTATTTATGTATATTAATATGTTTTATTAATGTACATAAATAATTTATAGGAAGAAAAAAGCGTGTTTAGTAGCTTATATCAAACATTTTATATAGTTTAAAATTTTTAATATGTATATGCTTCTAATAAATCTAAAATAAAATATATAATAATATTATAAATAATTATCTTACCCTTTATACCTACCTTACCTAACTTTTATAAGAGTCGAAATTTGTTAATAAGATAAAAGTTTAAAATAATAGCTGTCTTAAAAAGAATATTAAATTTTTACTTATTATATTATGCGTATAGTTAACCTATACAGGGTGTCCCAGAAATAAGTGCAAGTATTTTAAGGGGTGGTAGATCTCGATAAAAGAAACATATTTTCTCTTTATCGTTTTTCAAATAAGTCCAAAATAACGGTATTATTATATTTTGAAAATTTCCAAAAAAATGATTTTTTGCTAAAATTTGGAGAACCACTGGATCTTTTCTGGATTTTCTTTCTTGTAAATTTAATCTAATACCTATATTGTCCACCAAGAAATTATGTGTTTTAACTAAAAACTAAAAAATGTCCAAAAAATTTTTCAAAAAATTTCGAATTTTTAAAATGTTTTTTTCGTAAAAAAACCTCATAGGCGTGTTTCTGGGGCTGAACTATACTACCAGTTAAAATATTTGCACTTATTTCTGGGACACTCTGTATATTATCAAGAGGTCAATTTATTATGAAATGTAGGATTTTTAATAAGAAATTAACTCTATAAAATGTATGTACAGGGTGGGTCAAATTCGACGCTTTTAAATGAAAACACCCTTTTCTGTAGGAGATAGACAAAAACTAATATCGGTATCTGGAGCTCAATTTTTGTCAAAAACAAGATGGTGAAAACCGCATATCGATATCTGTTACCGTTTCGGAGTTACGGGGTGTTTTTCAAAAATATGCATTTTTAACAAATCGCTGTAACTTTTTTGCTATGAAAAATTTTGTATTTTTATGAAAACATTTCCAAAGCACCTTTTTACGTAGAATTTAATGGTTTAAGTATAATTTTTTGAAAATTAATAATTTAAGAATTATCAACAGAAGATTTGATTTTTTATATGGCACACCCTGTATATTTTTACTTTATTGAAAAGAATTTAAAATTACCTTTCCAAAAATATAACACAGTTGATATTTTGCGCGATTCCTCTTCGAGATATAGAGTATATAAAAATTCGCCCGCTTTTAAATAAGTAGGCTTTGAACGGCACCGGCTGTAATGCAAAAAATCTAGCTGTGAGCATCAATTAAAACGAAAAATAATATGCCATGAGAGATGCAGAATTTTATAACAATTTAAAATATATTTAACCAACATCAACACATTTAAACTATATCTAATAACAATAAAAATAAGTAGCAAACCAAGACATGAGTTTTTGCTACAGGTGTCTGCTACAGCGACATATCGACCGTCTTCTGTTATGGGCAGACGGGGCAGTTTTGAACATTTCTCGCGGTATTCATTAACTCAGTGGGGTGAAAGATACCCTCATAACTGCCAAGTATTTTTAATTCTTGTTTAGATCAAGGATTATACGGAAGAGTAAGGGACCTTTATTCTTCCGCAAATATATCCATAGGATTAGATCCATGCTGCATGGGTACTAAGTCAGGCGGCCTCGACGGCCACAACGGCTGAAATCTTGGTTAGCTATCCAATTATTTTGAAATTGGCTGCAAAAATTTGCTGATAACTTCAGCGTTCAGAGGTGATGCGTCGTCTTGCTGGAAAAAATATGTTTTCGAGTTCCATTAAAGGCATATCATCAATAAGGGGCCCAAAGCCTACTAGTTAAAAGTGGCGAGCTTTTAAAAATTCTGTATTTCGAAGAGGATACAAAATATCCAGTGTGCTATATTTTTAAAAAAATAATTTTAAATTCTCTTCAGTTAATTAAAAATATATAGAGTGTCCCAAATAAAAAATCAATTTTTCTGTTGATAACTCTTAAATTATTAATTTTAAAAAATTATACTTAAACCATTAAATTCTACGTAAAAAGGTGCTTTGAAAATGTCTTCATAGAAATACAAAATTTTCCATAGCAAAAAAGTTACAGCGATTTGTTAAAAATGCACATTTTTGAAAAACACCCCGTAACTCCGAAACGGTAACAGATATTGATGTGCGGATTTCGCCATCATGTTTTTGATGAAAATTGAGCTCCAGACACCGATATTAGTTTTCGTCTATCTCCTATAGAAAAGGGTGTTTCCATTTAAAGCGTCGAATTTGACCCACCCTGTACCTTTAAGACAGGTCTATTTTTTTTGAAAAAAATCCATGTGGCATTTCGCTACTAAAACAGAAATCTAAAAATAAAAGTTATTTTTGCAAAATTACACTACTGTTTAGAGTCGCCACGGAAACGATAACTGTCATTACTGTCATCAGGTACCCAGTAAGTGTAATTTGAAGTTTGATTTTATGTAATCACAGCTTATGAGAACCGTTAATGGTTTTAATAGACGTCTGCAAAAACTAAAGCAGTAAAATTACATTTAGATATTTTAGATAATTTTGATTCACTCTTTCCTTGTACTTTGCTTCTGGCGACAGGCGAGATATATTCCCTGTTTTTGCATGTATTTTTTGATGGATAGGTAAATTTGTTTACAAGTAAGAAGACATTACCAGCTTGTTCCCATTTTGATTCCAGAAACCACAGTGGCGTTTTAGAAAAAGTAACTTTTAAATTCTTTAGAATCATGTAGGAGTAGCCGTGAGAATAACATTTCATAGTTTTACACAAACTTACTTCGGATTTTTGTTACCAATTCTGAACCGTTCTATATATTCTCTACAGCACCTGCGTAGATAAAGAACTGCTGCATATTTCCTTCTGTGCAGGAGTAACACAGTTCTAGGACGGGTCAGAATCGGTAATAAGAATAACCCGAAGTAAGCTTATGTCGTTTACTGATGATCTTGATAGTTTGTGACTCAAATGACTCCGTGCCTACTGTGACATAGTTTTACTATAAATGAGTCTTAAGAGGATTATTAAACTGGTGTTAAGCCCGGAGCTAGCGGCGGAGGTAATTGATTTTGGAAGATTTTATGTAGTGGAATTTCACTCAACTTTTGATCAACCGGAATTCGAGTGTCATACAGCGACGGGGCCTGGAATATGATACCGCAAGTACCGCTAATACAAGCCAGGGTGAACACCCAGAGAAAGAATCTATCCAGTACCATGGATACGAATTTCCAGTCTTCTATAATCTGAAATTATAGAGTTAAACTTATTACCGATTAGATTTTATACAGACGAGACGTTATATAATAAATACCCAAATTAATGTATTATACAAGGCGTTTAAAAAAAACATGTGCCATTTCTCTTGGGGAGATTCCTTGTGCAAAAATAATATTTATTTTTCATATCAACATAGGTCAGATTCTGCTTCGTTTCGTAGCTACAGTCTAAGGTAGCTACAGGTAGTTATAGTCTTACTTTTTTTCGATTTTTTGTAATTTTCTTCCAAATGCTTTTAGCGATTCGCATGCAATTTTGAGGGCAGAAGTTACTGTAAGTGTAACATATTTTAATGTTAAAAAATGGTTTCACCAGGGATGTGCAAGTGGGTTATCATTAGAATATTTTTCTAAAAAAACATGTGCGCCACTGACTTTCTTTCCTTTTGTTAGCAAAATTGTGTAGACCGTTTAATGCCTTGATAAGATAAACCCAATTTGATTAATTTGCCAATCCAAGTCTAATAACAACCTTTAAAATGTTTTAATGTCGTTAACCGACCAAAGAGTTAAATAAGTATTAAGTGATTCCTTGTAAAAAATCTGAAATAAAGTTCTTATAAACATGGGTGCGAAAATGTAGAGTTTTAAAGTTATAATACAGACATACAGAATGCTAAAACTTTTAAAAAATAAGTATTTTAATTATCGTCGTAATTATCTTAAATACCATTATTCTTTAATTTGAATTTGATGTAGATAGGACTAAACATCAGTGTTATAAATTTTAATAAAATTTAATAATAAATTAGATTAAATAAATAATTTAATATATATTTTTATTTTAATTTTATTAATTGTGATTAATAAAATTGCGTTTATCTCATCGAGGAGATCGAAATAGACAAAATATCAAGAGATAACTTTTAATCAGTATTAAACGGCGTACAGAATGTTGCTAAAAGAGAAAAGAAAGTCAGTGGTGCACATATTTTTTTAGAAAAATGTTCCAGTGATAGCCCATATGTACGTCCCTAGTGAATATGTCGACCCTTTTTTAGCCTAACCCAGCCTAACCTTAATTTTTTATGTTGATAATTTTAATGTTGATATGAAAAATAAATCCTATTTTGATATGAGTAATCTTCCTACGAGATATGGCGCGTGTGTTTTGAAACACCCTGTATTTATCAGTTTCTTAACATACTTTATTAGCTTTACCTGTGTGTGAGTTGTAGGTATAATTAGAATCTACATTACATCAACACAGCTTATGCACAATATTATTGTATATTACCTCATTATCTTTATCAGCATCGCGTATATGTTGGGCAATGAATCTAACTCCTTCCAAGGCAGCTAAAACGTTGGCAGAGAGATTTTTTGGAGTTATGTTCGTTGATGAACCGCCCACTAAAATTTTATAATATTTAATATTATAGAATAAAAAGAACATGAACTTACTTGAAGAATGGGCTTTCATTTTACCCATGTCGTCTTGATTAGTATTTTGTAAAACAAAACTAGGTTCTCTAGTAGTAATTTTAAAGTCGCTGGTAAATGGTTCTCCCATGTTGAGCCTATTAACAGATTAATTATTGCTGATATGTCTGATATATTGCAATACCGAGTGCGTCTCAAAAGTGGCTCACCCCCTATAACTTTTTTATTTTTTCAGATAAAAAATCGAAATTTGGTATATTAGTATATAACATAAATAATTAGGATTGATTGACGTATTCAATTGTTTTCGGCCACTTCCTGTTTCACTGGAAATGACTAAAATTTTTAATTTTTAAATAGTACCTTCGGTATTTTGTTATTTTATTCGATAGAAAATGAAACTCTGAATAGAATGACGTACGATAATCAACTTTTGACATTTTCGAATATAGTTTATTTGAAATTGCAACATGCGATTCATAACGACAATTTGACTCGAAATATCAAGTGTGTGTATCAAATTATTCATAGAAAAATAATTTTTCCAAATATGCTAACGAGCCACCCTCGTTCCATTTGAAAAAAAATGAGATATCATTAAAAATACGATTTGGAAATCTTAACCGGCCAGGATAAGACACGAAAAACATTATACAATCAAATCTATTTTTCCAAGGCTCCTTGATTAAAAATTAGTGTTTTTAACACAGCCATGGCACTCTAGATTGAAATTTAAAATTCAATTTTGTTTGAAGCGAAAATGTCAAAAGTTGACATATGATATGTCATCCTATTCACAATGTCATTTTCTATCGAATAAAGTAAAAAAATACCGAGGGTGCCATTTAAAAATGAAAAGTTATAGTCATTTCCGGTGAAACAGGAAGTGGCTGAAAATAATTGAATACGTCAATCAATCCTAATTTATGTCGTATACTAACATGCCAAATCTCGTTTTTTTATCTGGAAAAATAAAAAAGTTATATCACGCCTATAATGGCGTGAGCCACTTTTGAGACGCACTCGGTATATGTATACCAAGTGACAATGAAATAGTTACACAAACCGCCAATTTACTGCTTTTTATCGAATAAATTTTGAGGAGAATTACATTAAATTTTCTACTCAAATATAATATATGAAATGGATAGTTTAGTTAGATTTTATATTAAGTTGCCAAAATAAATAATTTGAATTAAAGCAGTATATTTAGTTGTACTTCGAAAGAAAAAAATCTTAATTTTCCTCTTCTTTCCTCTGGCGAATTGATCTTTCCTCTGAACCGATCTTTCCTCTGACGAATTTAGTCAGATAGCTAATTTTTTTGCAATGAAAAAGAAAACGAATGACGTATAATAATTGTCAAATCGGAAAAATACCCTCCTTGAGGTGGTTAATTTCGTAACAATAATGACAGATATTTTTCAGCGACCGTTTTCTGTAATAATAAAAATTTCAAAGACACAAAAACAACATAAAAACGGAACACAAAATCATAAATAAGCTACGAAAGGAAAAACCAAAGACAATAAAAAATTATATACCGATCTGGTCATCGAAACTGCGTGGTGGATTTTAAAGTGTAAGACTGTGTATGTGAGTGATGTAGCTTAATGACAAATCAAATTTATTAAAAACAGATAAAAGTTGGGTTGATATATTTCCTTTATGCCGTATTGCCGGATTTAGCATCTACATTTCAAACCGTACATGTAGGCGTTTACGAAAAATGTTGCATCTAGGGTTGGTACTTTATTTTTCACAATTAGTTACTTATTTTACTACAGCTGTAATAAAAAAATACGTGCAAACCGGCAACACTGTATGCCGGTTTTTATTTTCTGTCTGTCTGTAAAACCTTAATTAAAAATGGCTGTTTATGCAACGATTTCAATTTCCACCAGCATATTCAAAGACTTAAAACATACTGTAAATCCATGTCTCCGTTTGAGTAACCCCTCGGTGGTTGAGAATCGTCATACTCTGGTATAGTGTAGGTAGTTCTTCGCATTATCAACATTTTTGGCATTATATGGAGAAATATTTTACGGAATAATGGAGACATTTTGTGCGTAGAGGGCGATCTAATTAAAAATAAAAATATATTTGTCCAATAAAACTTAATAAAGCACAAATGCCAGTTTAGTTAATATAGATAAAAATTACCTAAAATGTACATTTAATACACACACTGTAACCCAAATTGAAGATGTTACTAATATCATTGTAAACAGTAAATATTTTCCTAATAACGGTACAGCCAAAGAGGTGGGCGGAATGATTTCAGCTAATAGCAAGAAAAACACAGTCAAAGATAAAAGTATTGATACACATAGTGTCACCTAAAGAAATACAAATGTAGTTTTAACGTTTATCAAGATAATACTGAGTTGTTACCTTTTCTCCCGAATCAGACGGTAAGTAAAATACTAATACCGTTAAGAAAGTAATTCCAACACATGGAATGATAAGATTTACGGTATAAAATAGAGTTTTTCTTCTCATGGTGATCTTGAAAGTAATATCTAAAAATATAAGAATTAATTTCTAAATAAAAATTAATAACATATAAAATACATTTTTCCATAGGTAGATAGTTAGTTAGTTAGTAGATAAAATAGAATAGTACTTTAACCGCAAGGGTAGATTAAATGATACTTTAACAGCAAGGCTAGGTTAAAAACTTTTTTTCTTCTCGCACGTTTTTTAATTGCTTCCATTTTTTTGAAAATTTTCGTATTCGTTTTCATAAGTTATTTGGGATTTCAATGGACGTAGTTTGGATACGGCGTTTGTCGCCTCAGCCTGAATATCTGTTGGTAATTTACTTATTTCGTTTTGAGCCATTTCTGGCTCCAATTCAATCATGATTCATCAATTCATCACACCCCTACGCGAAATCATAGATTTTAGTAGGTTGTTTTTGTTTATTTGCCGTACATTGTTAGTAATTTTGAGTTTATATAATTTACTGTTATGCTGATTTATGATCAATCATTGTAATAATTATTGTAATTGTACGAGTGAAATAAACTATATTATTATTAAAACAAAAAAATCAGCAATCGACACGAAAGAGAATTAAAAAATATTGACTCAAAACTCACAACTAAAGCTTGTTTCATGTAGACGCGAATCGCCAAAAAATATTCGTCAAATTTGGACCTACACACACACCGGAAAAGTCTAGGGATATTACAATTTTATCCAGCCATCGTCAGTAATTTTATTATTTGCATTTCTGGTATAATAAAATTAAAATAAACAAATAGTTTACAGGACGTATTGGAAATAAAAATGCGAAATTTACCGAATTTTTCAAATTTACCTTGATTTTTATTGAACTCAAAAAAGACACACATTTTTTTATTCTAAACTGTGAATTAAAAAAAAGATAAAACCATTTTTACTTAATAAAGGGTATAGCCTCCTCTACTGTTCATTACAGCCCTACATTGTCTCTCCATGCTCCTGATAGGTTGTCGATCTCTTCTTGAGGTACAGCCTGCCACGCTGCATTCACGGCCCGAACCAGATCCCTACGAGTTTCACGAGGCATACGCATTCCCAAAATTCTTCTTTGGACCGCGTCCCATACGTGCTCGATGAGGTTGAGGTCAGGAGATTGTGCCGGCCAGGGTAAGATGTTTAATTGATGAGCATTGATAAACTCACTTACCACTCTGGCTGTATGAGGCCGTGCATTGTCATGCATGAAAATGAAGTTTCTCCCAAAATCATTAGCATAGGTCATAGGTAACAGGACAGGCTCAAGAATTAAATCACGATATGTGATTCCTGTTAGAAACCTTTCAAGAAAAACGAGATCGGTTTTTCGGCCTAACTGGACTCCTCCCAAGACCATAACTGTTCCACCTTGATAAGGGTGCACTTCCTGAACATGATCTAACCGAATAAGATTTCCCGGTTCTCTCCATACCCTAAGTCTTTTCGAATCCGGATGAATTCCAAAGCGTGACTCATCCGTGAAGAGAACATTGGCCCATTGTTCATTCGACCACTGAACATGATCTTGAGCCCACAAATATCGTACTTCTCGATTTCCTCTCGTTAAGGGTTGAGCTCTCCAGGGGCGTCTACTTCTTAAGTTGACCTCTCTTAATCTATTGTGAACAGTGTCAGGACTAACGGTTACATTATGTGTTTCCTGGAGAATTAAACTAAGCTCTGGTGCTGTAAGAGTCGGTCGGCGTCGATCATTTAATTGTAAAAAATGATCTTCCTGAGGGGTAGTAATGCGATGTCGCCCTGTGTGCCTTTCTGCAACATCACCACTTTCACGGTAGCGTGCACTTAATCGCGATATTACACCTTGCCTTGTATTTAATGCTCTAGCTACGTTGATTTGGCGCATTCCAGCTTCGAGCATACCCATGGCCCTTAGCATTTCGTCTCTGTTAAGATGTCTACGCTCCATAATGTAGTTTAATACTAAACAGAGTTATTTGAATGAATTCTGGCCAGTTATCATAAAAAACATAGCCAGTACAGGTTAAATTCGAACAATTGATGCTAGTTCTTTTTTATACATTTGAAAAAATGCACAAACACTTCTGCAAATATCCCAAATTTAGAAATAACTAGTGTGACTACTTCGTTTCAATCGAAGTAGAAAGAATCGGCCTACAAATATGTGGTTGTTTATTCAAAACATTTATTTTTAACTTTAATAAAATGGTATCCCTAGATTTTTCCGGTGTGTGTATTTCATACAGTCGCGAATTTTTAGGGACATTTCATTTTTGCTCTACTGAAAGTTACCAAAAAAAATCATAACCTGAGACCGCCTGAGATAACTTAATTTGTTTTTTATTCGTGTTTACGATCTTTATTTTATATTTTATAGCATACAATATGAGTTTAAATTTGTTTAATGATTATGAATATCGATTACGATTGTGTGATTGGAACAGGAGGCGCAAAATTGCCATTTATTTATTGTTAAAACGTAGAAGAGAACGGGTTTATAGGTCATTTGGGACATGTGAAATATTTAAATTTCGTAAGCAACAAGGTGCTGATCGCCATTTAATTCAAGATATGAGGACAAAAGATGAGAAAAAATGTAAGTATTTTCACAGATTGTCTGTACAGGAGTTTGATAATTTGATTGAAAAATTGTCGCCATATATATCAAAAACATATTACGCACGAGAACCCGATTTCACCTGGAGACATGCTTTCAGTTACTTTGTGGCAGCGTCGTCAAAATAATCGATAACCGGATCACAGCACCATTTTGGGCAAACGCGAACCTTAAAATCGCGCGAATATCCGCAAAAAGTTGAAAACACTTTAACCTTCCCGCCCACCAAATTTTAAATCTTGCGAATCGCCAAAATCTTAAAATTTCTGACAGCGCAGCCATGATCATTAAAATTGGACCAATGAGAGCAGTTTGGCAAAATCGCGATCCGCGATTCGCTTCTACATGAGCATGGCTTAAAGAGACAGCTTTATATTTTTTTTCTTACATTTTCGCTTTTATTTACTACTTGTAAAAAAAATATACATACGTCAATTTGGCTTACGTATTTCAGTATCGTAGCTGGTATTTGTATTATTAAATAATTATTATTATACCATATTTAACAATTTTAATAAATAATAACGTTTAATGACAACGTAAAAACCAACAAATTATCGAGTTTACCCTATATTTTATTTTTATATGTTTTTAAGTAAAATTAAAGCGGCTTGATAAACCGCAATATAAGTCAGCCATATTAATCTACCATTACTTTGCCATTACGCTTTTTTTATATGTTCCTTCCTTAATCTCTTTATTCAAAGAAGGAACTGTAAAATACAAGATTTATTATTGAAATTTACTATTTTTTTGTAAATTATTCTAAACACGTTGTATACTATAAAACGGAATTTTGATATGTGTACGGAGCATATTAGAATATTTTCCATTTAGAAAATGATGTATTATATTTAGTATTTATACTTAATCAAAGAATTTTATAGTTAACACAATAGAAAACCCATCCCGTGTAAAATTTTTGGAACAAAAAGGAGCCCGGCTTTTTGAGCCGGGATCCATCGAGGCGCCGTAACGTTAAAGCAGAGTACTTAAACCACGTGATCTACGTACTCTGGTTAAAGAGCGATTCCTTCCTTGTCTATGTTGCCAAATCGTACGCCAAATGCTACCGGCACACGCGGCGGCCCGACGGCGATCATCAAAGCCTGCCGTATTCCCCCGCACCTCGTTGTGAAGGCTTCGTGGTGTGCTCATTTTTTATATTTTGAATTGTGGATTTTGCTTTATTATTTTGAATTATTATATTTTGATTTAAGTTTTCGTGTTTTAAAAATATGTCGGACAATGTATGTCAATATTACAATTGCAGACTATCAAGGAGGGACAATCCTAATTTAAAAATGTTTAGGTTCCCTTATAAAAATCGAAGTATATGCGAACGTTGGATTTTAAATTCGGGTAAGCAGAGGCGTGACTGAATATTATGCTGGATATCTTCAAAAAAAATGCAAGATAAGTTTAATTGTTTAGAGTGCAGTTCAAAATTTCTACACCAAGACCTTATTGCTCATCAACTTGATCCAAAAAAAACTCTTTACTGAACAAAAATTATGAGGTGGACAGACTTTTCCTAATTGTACCATGTACATACAGTATTAGCATTTTATTTTGTCCCATTTTTGCTAGGCTATAACTTTTCTATTTTTCTATAGAACATTCATTAAAAAACAAATTTTAGGGTCTTTAGTCAAGTTTTATTGTTTATTATAATCAATAATGTCATAGAAGTTGCCAAATGTCACCGTTATTGGTATGAACTATTTTTTTAAATGGGACACCCAGTATGTTTAAAGTGTATTTATACAGGGTATTTCAAAAAACATGTGCCATCTCTCGTGGGGAGACTTCTCCCGTAAAAATAAGATTAATTTTTCATATCAACATAGGTCCAATTCTTTGTTTCATTAGCTACAGGGTGTTAAAATCTTAATATTTTACGATTTATTATAATTTTCTTATATTACATTTCTTTTCCATATACTTTGGCGTTTTGAATGAAATTTTCAGGGTAAAATTTACTATAAATGCGATATATTTTAAAGCCAAAAAAGTGTGGACATATTCACCAGGGACGTGCATATGGGTTATCACTGGAATATTTTCTTAAAAAATCATGTACGCCACTGACTTTTTTTCTCTTGTTAGCGAAATAGTGTAAGTAGTTTAATGCCGATTAAAAGTTGTCTCTTGATATTTTGTCGATTTCGGCCTCCTTGATGAGATAAACGCAAAACGATATCCTCATCAAAAAATGTGAAAAAAAGTTCCTATAAACATGGGTATGGAAATGCATAGTTTTTTAGAGTTACAGGATTTTTTAAAATTAGGTTTTTTGTTGTTATCTTAATAACCAATATTTTTTTATTTGAAATTGCTGTATGTTGGATTAGTTTGATGTATTATTACTAGTAGAATAATGACATAGTAATAATTTTTAATAATAAATTAGGTAAAGATATAATTTATTAATTTTTTATTTTTATTTTAATTTTATTAATTATTGTGATTAATAAAATTGCGTTTATCTCATTAAGGAGGCCGAATTGGAGAAAATATCAAGAGATGCCTTTTAATTGGCATTAAATGGCCTACACAGTTTTGGTATCAAAAAACCGTCAGAGGCGCACATGTTTTTTTGCACGTTCCTGATGAATTTATTGACGCGTTTTTAGCATTAAAATATGTAACACTTATAGTAACTTTTACCCCAAAAATTCAAATCACTAAAAGTACTTGGAAGAAAATTATAATAAATCGAAAGATTATTAAGACTTTAATACCCAGTAGCTACGAAACAAAGCAGAATCGGACCTATATTGATACGAAAAATAAGCCGTATTTTTATGTGAGGAATCTCCCCACAAGAGATGGTACATGTTTTTTGAAACACCCTGTATAGTACATTTTTATTCTGTTATAAAAAGTAAATGTATCACACATGTTCTTTCTTTTAACAGTTTTATCGAAATTCGAAAAAATTATAAACCAATGTTAATATGTAATTTGTCTCAAGTTCGGTAGTTTTTAAAGGGACACCCTGTATATTTTTTTATTTTATTTGCCTTGTTATGAGCTTTCTACAACTATAATATACTTATTTGTCACAAACAAGGTAAAATGCATTTTTAACTTTTTAACATGAATAAACTTGTTTAAAAGATTATTATTATTTTATTTTATTTAATCAGATAATTATGCTTTCCACGGTGTTATCTTAATAAACTGCACTGAAAATGAACTTGTCTAATTTTTACATAACACGGCTGTCAATCAGAGTTACAGAAATTGTTGATGCACTTGTGCAATAATTTTACACACAGAAGTGTGGAATAACCAACATCTAAAATTTGAAGTCGAATAAATTATTCGATGATTGTATTGATTACGCAATCAAAACAAGCCGCGTATGTGAAAAGTTAAATATAATGCATTTTTTACCTTATTTATAAAAATAAATATAGATTACCTAAATTATATTTTAGAAATCCCATAGGGAAGGCAAATCAAACGAAAAAAAATAATAAAATACTAAATAGTGAAAACGTGAAAACCTCATCTTTGTACCTCTACTCATAAATGATAAACCCTGTAAAAACACACGAAAATGGGACACTGTATATACTATAAATATCAAAATGAAAAATACATAAATTTTTTCTCCTCTATAAGTCAATATATTTAAAACTTCTTTTCATTTAACTAATTTTTAGATTTGACTCGACAAATTTTTATTTTGTTTCTTTGATTGTCAAATGTTGTTATATAGCTTTTTGTAAAAATGAGTGTTATCTATTAAAATATGTTTAGTTTTAGTTTTTTTATTTCAAGTTAACTTGTATCAAATTTACAAAAAAATTCTAAAGATAAATGCTAAATTCAATATAATTTTCTAACTAAATATAGATTTCTTCTAAAATACAGTTATTGGCAACGCCGCGTCTCGTTCACGAGGGTTTCCGCACGAAATATTAAAGTTTACGTGTGCATTGATGTCTTTTGGCCGGTTCCAGCCGTCCCTTTCATGTGGGTTATCTATTCGTAGTAGAATTATCTTTGACTTAATGTCGGTTTCATAATTTATAAAACTACGATCCACGATTACTTGTAATTTTTCCTAATTTTAATTTCCTTGTAATTTACTTCACTGTGATAATGTTAATACGATTTAAATTTAAAAAAAATAATAAAAAGTTACCTGAAAAAGGTTCTTGACTATCTGGATAATATTCTTCGTTTCTTGTGGCGGGAACAGCCAAAATGTCCCATTCTACTGATAAGTAAAATTCGGATAAATCTATACCAACTTTAATAATATTACTACCAGCATGTTGATCCATATGTTTTAAATCAACCTGGAAATTACATTGTGTTTTATATGCCAATTATACACGGTGTTAAATAAGTGTAAATATTCATAGAGGTAGTATATTTCGGCCCCAGAAACACTTCTATAGATTTTATTTCGCAAAAAAATTGAGCATTTTTTTAGTTTTTTAGAGGACCGAGGCTTTTCCTCAACATAATTTCTTGATACATACATAAATTTTCTGCAACATAATTTCTTGATAATATGGTAACATAGGTAGTAGATTAAATTTACAAGAAAGAATCCAGAAAAGATTCAGTGGTTCTCAAAATTTACGTAAAAAATATATTTTGTTAAATTATCAACGTAAGATAACTCGGTTATTTTGGAGTTTGAAAAATGGTAAACAGAAAATATGTTTCTTTTATCGAGATCTACCAGCCCTGAAGATATTTGCACTTATTTAAGATTCACCCTGTGTAAGTAATATTTAAGATAAAATAGAATTTTTAATAAAATTTATATAAATTGTCATGCCAAATAACGTTTTAACCAAAAATTTTAATTAGGATGTTCATAATTTGCGAATTCATGATTCATCTTTATTTTGGTTTAATAATTTGATATACCGGGTGAGTCTCAAAAGTGGCTCACCCCTAGAACTTTTTTATTTTTTTAGTTAAAAAAACGATATTTGGTATGTTAGTATATGACATAAATTAGGATTGATTGACGTATTCAAATGTTTTCGGTCACTTACGGTTTGACCGGAAATGACTACAACTTTTGATTTTTAAATGACACCCCGGTATTTTTTTTACTTTATTCAATAAAAAATGTCACTCGGAATAGAATGATGTTTCGGTTTGTAACGAAAATTTGACTCGAAATACCAAGTGTGTGGTATCAAATTATTCGTAAAAAATTGCTTTTTCCAAATATGCTAATGAGCCACCCTCGTTCCATTTGAAAAAATTGAGATATGATTAAAAATACGATTTGAGCATTTTCTAACGGGCCAGGACAAGACACTAAAAACATTAGACGATCAAATCTTTTTTTCCAAGGCTTCTTGATGAAGAATTAGTGTTTTTAACATACACTCTAGACTGAATTTTAAAATACAATTTTTTATTAAGCGAGAATGTCAAAAGTTGACATATATGATATGTCATTCTATTCAGAATGTCATTTTCTATCGAATAAAGTATAAAAATACCGAGGGTGCCATTTAAAAATCAAAAGTTGTAGTCATTTCCGGTGGAACAGGAAGTGACCAAAAACAATTGAATACACTAATCAATCCTAATTTATGTCGTATACTAACATACCAAATCTCGTTTTTTTATCTGAAAAAATAAAAAAGTTATAGGGGGTGAGCCACTTTTGAGACGCACCCCGTATATTTTATATGCCAATTATATAAGTAATATTATTTAATATAAAATGAAATATTTTTAATCAAAAATTTTAATTTTGAAATTATAAGAAGTATGTTCATAATTTGCGAATTTATGATACATTTTTATTTTTGATTTGTTATTTTTGATAGCAACTTAAAATACAGGGTGCTACAAATTTGAGGTACGAGCATTGGTATCTCGGAAACCGTAATAGATACGAAGATGGTTAAATTGGGGCAAAGTTGCGCCTTGGAATGTTCGCCAAGATGCCATCAAAAAATTTTCAAAAATTTCAAGGATTGCTGACTTTTTTGGAAAAACCGGATTTTTTTGAAAATCAATTTAATTTTTTCCTGTCGTTACTATTTATAAAATCAAAAAACTAATTGCATATTTTCATAGCCACTTTATTAGCGCTATCTGATAGTATTTTTAGATTTTCAAATTAGCTGATAATTTGTTAGATACAGAGGCCAACTTAATTTTTTTAAATACGGACCTGCATGTTTTATTCCAGTTTTTGAAAGAACTCGGTCTCCTGAGTACAATGATATGCCACACTTTATACTTTTTTTTATTTCGGACATTTGGAACACAATTTATATAAACTAATTTCAAGTCCGGCTCTGTTTTTTTTATGTTTAATCTATTCATCGTTACAATATTGATAAGCCTTCAAACTTAACGATGATGTGGGGCAAGACATTGAATACGGAAAATCAAATGCAATAAAAAATAAAAAATTCCAAACCAAACCAAATTAATATTTTTCAACATTTACAATAAAGTATAAAATACAAAATGCATTCGGAAGTATGAGAAGGAGATATGTTCAAAGAGCTATAAATAAAACTGAACGAATAATAAATTTGTGCAATAGGAAGAGTGGAACCCTTTCAAAACATGTAGAGCATTAGAAAGTAGTTTGTTAGAAGTTGATTCATTTATAATAACCACGATTAATATTATGCATATTATTAGCCATACACTGAGATTTCCGATTCACAACAAAAAAAAAGTTAAAAATAATATCTTTAAATTGCTGACCTGGATATTATTTACTTATTTGAATCTTTCAAGTGGCTCGATTTTCCTTATTCAATGTTAATTAGCGCTGATCAATATTGTTGCGATGAATATAATCAGGTTAAATAATTTAAAAAACAAGAGTCGGACTTGAAATTATTTTAAATAATAATTAAATAGTTTTGTTGTTTTTAAGGTGCACAAAACAAAAAAAGTTTAAAGTGTTGTATATCACTGTACTCAGGAGACCGAGTTCTCTCAAAAACTGAAATAAAAAATGCAGGTCCGTATTTAAAAAAAATAAGTTGGTCTCGCTAATTTGGAAATCTAAAAATACTATCAGATAGCCCTAATAAAGTGGCTATGAGAATGTGCAATTAGTTTTTTGATTTTCTAAAAAGTAACGACAGGAAAAAATAAAATTGATTTTCAAAAAAATCAGTTATTTCCAAAAAACTCAGCAATTCTTAAAATTTTTGAAAATTTTTTGATGGAGACTTGGTGAACATTCTAAGACGCAACTTTGCCCCAATTTAACAATCTTCGTATCTATTACGGTTTCCGAGATACCAATGCTCGTACCTCGAATTTGTAGCACCCTGTATAATAAAAATATAATATATTAATTAATTATTATGTTTGTAAGTCTAAGACATCGTAATTGTTTCACTATTTGAAATGTATATCCAGTAGAACATACTTTGATAAGAAATAATTAAAGTGAATTCATTTGTATAAAATAGTTTTTACCTGAAGACCATTGTATGTCCAAGAAGCAAATTTCATCAAACAACTCTGTTCATCAAATGGAAAATATTGAACGTTTATTTCACAGGATGATTTATAAATTGATGGAGGTTTCCAGACGACATCTCCAGTATATTTTAAGGTTGCTTTTGTCATAAGGGTCACTTCGTAGTTACCATCGGCACTTGTAAAAAAATAATTTTAGATAGAAGCTACCTTTAAAAGTGATAGATTAGTAAATAGTAAAAATAATTTAAGTAATATTCAATATTATGTGACAGATATGCTACACTGTAGTAGATAGGATTGACGCTATTAATAATAAACGCCTACCTTTGAACAAAAAAGAGCAAAAGTCAGGTATGGTCTTATACAGGGTTGTTCACCACATACGGCACGGAATATTGTAGCTAAACGATTAGATTTTTACAAATTGTAAGTTTTGGGTTCGTTAAAGGACTATTAGAGCTACAATTTAAAAATATTTTTACAAGACACAGAGTGTCCCAAATAAATAAAAAAAAAAATATCAAAGTTGTATTTTTTTAAATGGAACACTCTGTGTATTATGACATTTTAGTTTCTACGATTAAAATAAAGGTAAATTTTATTAAGGTTTATTACACTTAAACCTTACCGTTCTTGAAATATTTTCAATTTTGTGAAATTGCAGTATCAATTTTAAGGCTTCATTTCTCCGAGGGTATCAAAGTTTTTAATACTAAATATTTACTGAAGTTTATTTATTGATCAGTTATTGTGTTGCAATAATAAAAATTTTACTACCTTATACAGAGTGCCTAAATATTTATTTTAAATAATTATTAGCTTTAAACGGCAATAAGGCAATAACTTGTTTAATTTAAATGGAACACCCTGTATATTTTATGAGAATCAGATGCACAATTTAATTGTCTATCAAATTGTATTATACCATTTTTTATCTATCTCTTCAAGTTTCCGTAGAAAATGCATTTTCTTGTAATTTAGAACTCATTTATCAATATACCCATGGAATACTGACATTTTAGATTATTTTTAAAAATGTACCAAATTTTTAAAGAGTACTACTAATATTGTCAATATAGTTCGTTTATTTCATTAAAAAATAAATAAAAAACTGTTTAAATATTTGTTAAAGACGACCAATTAATAAGATTCCAGTATTCAAAATACATGAATTGACTGTTTGCGTTGATTAATAATAATTGCTCCAAATACTAAAAGACTGAATTATGTATGTGTATTAGACAGTGTTGTAAAAAACTAACACCTAAAAAATGATATTTTATTTTTTGATAATTGCTTATTTATAACAACAGAGACGTTCATTTTCATAACTTATTATTATATTGATTTATGATTCAAATCCACATTTATTTAGAATAATTTATTAACGAACACAATTAAGTATGTAATTAATTAGTATTTGGTCGGAAATACTGGTGATATATTTAATTAATGGTATATTCTTTTATAAAGATTTAAATAGTTTTCTTTTTGCATACAAATATTGTGTATGTTAATAATGCATGTAATGTAATAATTTGTACAGTTGTTGTTTTAAAAACAATCTAAAATGTCAATATTCCATGGGTATATTGATTAATGAGGTCTAAATTATAAGGAAATGCATTTTCTACGAAAACTTGAGGGATAGGTAAAAAGTGTTATAATACAATTTCATAGACAATTAAATTGTACATCTGATTCTCATAAAATATACAGGGTGTTCCATTTAAATTAAACAAGTTATTGCCGTTTAAAACTAGTAATTATTTAAAATAAATTTTTAGACACTCTGTATAAGGTAGTATAATTTTTATTATTGCAACACAATAACTGATTAATAAATAAACTTCAGTAAATATTTAGTATTAAAAACTTTGATACCCTCGGAGAAATGAAGCCTTAAAATTTATACTGGAATTTCACAAAATTGAAAATATTCAAAACGGTATATTTAAGTTAATAAGTGTTAATCAAATTTACGTTTATTTTAATCATAAAAACTAAAAATGCAATAATATACAGGTGTTCTATTTAAAAAATACAACTTTGATATTTTTTATTTATTTGGGACACTCTGTATCTTGTAAAAATATTTTTAAATTGTAGCTCTAATAGTCCTTCAACGAACCCAAAACTTACAATTTGTAAATATCTAATCGTTTAGCTACAATACTCCGTGTCGTATGTGGTGAACAACCCTGTATATAAAAAATACAATTTTCTCATTAAATATTGATCTTAGGCATAGAAAGTGCTTAATAAAACCAAAAGATTAAACAAAACCTGGTTCTATCCAAACCAAACCAAATAAAACCTTGTTCTATTATTATACCAAATACAGGGTGTCCCATTTAAAATAGTGGTGAAAAATACATTTAGTTTTGACTCGCTCTATATATCATCTATATATCAAACAAGAATGCAATTTTTGGTAGACTGAATTTTGAAAAAGACATTATTATACAGTATTTCCTGTTAAGGGAAAGCTAGGCTAGAACCGGAGGAACTATGCTCCCATCCTATCAAGGACCTGCATAAGTTAGTGCAGGGCACAGGGATAGGAGAATGGGTGCAGATATAGAAAGGGGACAAACACAATAGACCTCACAGGTCGCAGTGTTTCCGGCAGAGGACGGCCCCTTATTGTGGGGAAAAAAAATGTATAGTATTCCATTTAAAAATATACAAATATGGTTTGAATATACATATATTTGAATCGCCGTGTATGCTGACAAAAATATTTTCAAAATGTGCGTTGCGAGGGTAACCCACACCACCCCATATTATGTAAAAAAATGAAATTCACAAACCAAAAAAAAAATATAGGGCTTTTTTGGAAGTCTGAATCACCCTGTATGTTTTTGAACTAAATTTACTGCTCATTTAAAGCCCTCTTAAAATTCTAAATTCGAATCATTTTAAAAATTCACAACAGGAAGTACTGTATAATAGTGGCTTATTCAAAATTCAGTCTACCAACATTTGCAATCTTGTTTGATGAATATACAGGGCGTGTCACTAACACAAGAAAATATTAAGTTGCTAATGAGAAATGGTAGATTGGTAATATTGAAAAAGTGCTTCTCTAATATAATTGACTGAATAGTTCTAAAAGTTCTGAAACCTTAGTTTTGCTTACAACAAAGTTTTCTGTAAACGAAAATCAAATATTTTTTTTAGAATTACTCAAATTTGTCAAGAAAACTACGTCAATTATTTTGTTGATTTTTTGCTTTTAATTACTAGTGACTAGTCCAAAACTAATATATTAAAACATTAAAATTCATTCTTACTTATTAAACAGCACAATATCCGGTAGCCAAATATGTTCGGATGGTACATATAACATCTCGATTCCACCATACTCTTCAGGATCCCACCTTAACTTATAGTCATTCCATTTCTAAAATTCATGATTGCAGATAAACTATATAAAAATATTACACTTTAAGTTAAAATAAGAATAACTAGGAATATACGAAGTAAATTAATATTTTTAGAGTTTGGTTTAATATTGTGTTTTGTACTATTGTATTTTATACTATTCTAGATATCGTTTGAATAGACTACCTGAACTACCCATAAATTGGTAGTCATAACTTGATTTTTTAAATTCATCTCGATGAGTTGTGATAATTTAAGACTAAGCCACACTGTAAGTGTCTCCGTGTGATTGATCACAGGTCTAATGAGGCGATTGTAGTTGCTGAGCAGATCATCGTAAAGCCTTTTGGCATCTGGATTGGCTTCTATATGTTTTACCTCAGCTAAAAAATGCAATAAGTTGGTATTAGTTTCCATTATTAGTATTAATTTATTCATACTACTTCAAACTCTATAGTTTTTTAAATTCCAGCAGATTATTTTAAATACCGGGTGCGTCTCAAAAGTGGCTCACCCCTATAACTTTTATATTTTTTCAGATAAAACAGCGATATTTGGTATGTTAGTATATGACATAAATTTGGATTGACTGAAGTATTCAATTGTTTTCGGTCACTTCCGGTTTCACCGGAAATGACTACAACTTTTGATTTTTAAATGGCACTCTCGGTATTTTTTTACTTTATTCGATAGAAAATGACCCTCTGAATCGAATGACATATCATATGTCAACTTTTGATATTTTGGCATATGGTTTATTTGAAATTGTAACATGCGGTTCATAAGGACAATTTGACTCAAAATACCAAGTGTGTGGTATCAAATTATTCGTAACCCTCGTTCCATTTGAAAAAATTAAGACATGATTGAAAATACGATTTGGGCATCTTTTAACCGGCCAGGCCAAGACAATAAAAATATTAGACGATCAAATCTATTTTTCCAAGGCTCCGTGTTTTTAACACAGCCGTGGCACTCTAGATTGAAATTTAAAATATAATTTGTTTTTGAGTGACTATGTCAAAAATTGACATATGATATATCATTCGATTCAGAGTGTAATTTTCTATCGAATAAAGTAAAAAAATACCGAGGGCGCCATTAAAAAATCAAGAGTTGTAGTCATTTCCGGTGAAACCGGAAGTGACCGAAAGGAATTGAATACGTCAATCAATCCCAATTTATGTCATATACTAACATAACAAATCTCGTTGTTTTATCTGAAAAAATAAAAAAGTTATAGGGGTTAGCCACTTTTGAGATGCACCCAGTATACATTTTTTATTTTTTATTTAGTATTTTAATTTTTATGAACATTGTTTTTGTTTTTTTGTTTTACAGTTTTTTTTCATCACAGATAACTAAGTTACACTTAATATGGTAGTAATGTTTAGTAGAACTGTAACGATTACGTATCTTGGGTGTATGTATACGAGTACAGACAGCATACAGTGTAGTATGCTGTATGATAAAAAACATCATCTTAGAAAGTTATCTTAGAAATAACTATCGGTGCTATTTTATATGTAAAATCATATAGGAAAATTCATCGATCGTCATTTCTAAGGTAACTTAACGCCGTTTTTTTTCTTTGATAATACGGGTATTTAATACTAATATTATTTTTTTCTAATCGTTAAAAATCTACATATAAAATGCTAATGTTTATCTTTGTCGTCTCTACTGAAGTAACGACTGGCTCTAGAAAGTTGCTTTTTTTACTAAAAGATAGCTAATTGGCTCTTCTAAAAACTGTCGTCGCCGGATTTTTTGTTTTCATTTAATTAAAAAATGATGATGTCGTGGCGGATGCGCCAAGCTTGAACTAGTATACCGGGTGCGTCTTAAAGTGGCTCACCCTATAACTCTTTTATTTTACAGTTAAAAAAGAGATTTGGTATGTTAGTATATGACATAAATTAGGATTGAATGGAGGTATTCAATTGTTTTCGGTCACTTCCTGTTTCACCGGAAATGACTGCAACTTGATTTTTAAATGGCACCTTCGGTATTTTTTTACTTTATTCGATAGAAAATAATACTCTGAATAGAATGACATATCATATGTCAACTTTTGACATTTTCGTATATGATTTATTTGAAATTATAACTTGCGGTTAGTAACGAAAATTTGGTTCGAAATACCAAGTGTGTGGTACCAAATTTTTCGTAAAAAAATGCTTTTTCCAAATATGCTAATGAGCCACTCTCGTTCCATTTGAAAAAATTGGGATATTTTTAAAAATACGATTTGAGCATTTTCTAACTGGCCAGGACAAGACACTAAAAACATTAGACTGTCAAATCTATTTTTCCAAGGCTCCTTGATTAATAATTAGTGTTTTTAACATAACCTTGGCACTCTAGATTGAATTTTAAAATTCAGTTTTGTTTTAAGCGAGAATGTCAAAAAGTTGACATATGGTATGTCATTCTATTCAGAATGTCACTTTCTACCGAAGAAAGTAAAAAAAAATACCGAGGGTGCCATTTAAAAATCAAAAGTTGTAGTCATTTCCGGTGAAACAGGAAGTGATCAAAAACAATTGAATACATCAATCAATCCTAATTTATGTCATAAACTAACATACCAAATTTCGTTTTTTTATCTGAAAAAATAAAAAAGTTATAGGGGTGAGCCACTTTTGAGACGCACCCGGTATAATAATTTACTTTAAATTTTTTAGTTACTCTTATGTTTTTATTATTTTTTCTATATTTTATTCAACGAAAAATTTTTCTATATTTTATTCAACAAAATTTTTTTATATGTTATTATTATAAAATAATATATTATTAATATCTATTAATACTAACTATGTTATAATTGATAATAATTGTATTTTATCATTTTTACTAAATATGTTATTGAAGAATAAAAATAAAAGAAAAATAAATGGATAACTAAGAATATTCTAACGAACTTCTTTAATTTTTTTTAATTAATATTTTTTCTAAAATAATAACAAAATGTGCACAGATTCGAATATATAGAAACATAATTCGTTATAATAGTTGTATACTAATAATTATAATTTTCATATACGTAGAAAGAACATATTATTTGTACTAAAATGTTTATGTATACCTACTATACACAAATGTATAATACACAAATATATTAACATTATGATAAATGAGTCATTAATATCTAGTTAGAATACTTACCATAACAACAATTTAGAAAGAAGCTTATTAAAGCAATTTTTAACAAAATCATGGTGTTTTATATTAGAAAATGGAAATGTCTGCTCTATTTGTTTACGCCCAGGCAACTGTTCATACAGAGGCGGGTGAGGATGCGCTGGACCAAAAATCAAACTGAGCAATAAAGCAATAGAGTAGAACGTCAATTTTTAGATTAGAAATAATTCTAATTTTTTTGAATATTATGTAGCTAATTATACAGTCGACATAAGAAGTTTTAAAGCTTAGATTTACGTCTTGTACAAAATATAAATATTTCAAAAAATATTTGGATAGGCTTCTGGGAGTTCAAAGTCGGGAGATCAAATCAATATCCGGCGCTGGCGCAGAAGCAAATTTAAAGTTAGCAAAATTATAAGGAGATGAAAATAAATATGTTTAGCATTTTTTATATCGATATCTTGTGATGAATAAAATTTCAATAATAAAATAATAATAAAATATTAATTTATTATATTATTTTTAATAATAATTTTTCGTAGATAATATTTAATTTCTTTGAGAAATATACAGAGGGAGTTTTAAATAAGTGCAAATATTTTCAGGGCTCGGAGATCTCGATGAAATAAACATATTTTCTCATTACCGATTTTCAAATAAGTCCAAAATAACCGAGATATTTTACGTTGAAAATTAAAAAAAATATATTTTCGCTTAAATTTAGAGAACCGCTGGATCTTTTCTGGGTTTACTTCGTTGTAAATTTAATCTACTACCTATGTTGCTATATTATGAAGATAATATTATGTTTTTTAACTAAAAATTTAAAAAAAAATCCAAAAAAATGTCCAATTTCAAAAATCCAAATTTTCAAAATATTTTTTCCGCGAAAAAAAACCTCATAGACGTGTTTTTGGGGTCGAAATATACTACCCCTAAAAATATATGCACCTATTTAAGACTCCCCCTGTATAGTGTCTCAGGAAAAAAAGTTGGGTATTTGGATACACAGATATAAAACTAATTAAAATATTATGAAAATTAAACAATATAAATAGAAATTTAACAGTCAAAAACAAATTTAATCTCCTACAAAAAGATTTCATCATAATAGTTGTAAAATATGATTTATAATTTCAATGTACAGGGTGTCCCATTTTGGTTGAAATCACCGTTATTAATGAAGATAGGAGGATGCGGTTTGCACAGAGCCTTCTTCGTTTCTTGCAATTTGGGACATCCCCAGTATCTTTGTTAATGCGAAAGTTATTGAGAAGGTAAAAACTGTCTATTGTAGAACTTTTTACATAGAATACAGTGGCGTAGTCTGATTTTTTACTAAAAAAATATTCTTGAAGATATGATATATATATAAATATACATCCTGTATATTTATAAATCATATGATCTGGCCTGCTATGAGTTTCTCAAAAATATACCGTATGATCGAGAAAAAACGGCGTCAGCGATGGCTATGGAATGAAGATCGCTGTCATTTTGTATGTAAATTTATATGGGAAATGTCATTGATGTTCATTTCCCAGCCAACTGGATGCCGTTTTTTTTCGATCATACGGTATAAACTCTATTTTTCAACCAAAATTGGACACCCCGTACAATACTGTATATCTATGTTGTTGTATATACCGGGTGTTTTTAAAAAGTAGCTTACTCCTATAACTTTTTTTATTTTTTCAGATAAAAAAACGAGATTTGGTATGTTAGTATATGACATAAATCAGGATTGTTTGCCGGCATTCAATTAGCTTCGTGTTGGCCTCCTGTTTTACCAGAAATTACTATAACTCTTGTATATTACTATGGTACTTTCGGATTTTTTTTATTTTATTTAATATAATAGAATGATATATGCCAACTTTTGATATTTTCAAAATTGAAAAATAGCATAACATCTAATCTGTTTTCAGTGTTGCAAAATGTTTAATCAGAATTAGGCATATTAAAAATATTCTTCATTTAAGCAACATTTTCTTCTTTATTTTAAATTCTAGCGATTTTAATATGCTTAGGCTTTTCTGCAACTTATATATATATATATATAGGGTGTCTCACAATTTAAGAGACCTTGTATAACTGGGAACAATTGCCTAAAATATTTTTATTTATTAGATGGTTTCTGCATAAAACATTAGGTAATATTGCATTTTTAAATTCCAAACGAAATAAAACAAAAACATATACACTTATTCTCATCTATTTTTTTCTATTCTAACATGTAATAATATACATATAAACTTCAAATCTGTATCCATAGAACAAATACAAAACGCATTTCATATGTAAAGACATTCTACTTTAAGAATAATATAAATTGGAATTTATTAAAAAATTACTTTGTACATGCTTTAGTATAAACACACAGTTAAAAATATTTTAACTTGGCTTCCAGTTGGGATTTGCGTGGATTAAAATTTTAATTGGGTTTCCTTCTTGAGTTTTAGCTGTATGGAATGCTTTAAGGGAATCCTCAATACGATAGTGATGAGTGATCAGAGGTTTGACGCTAATTTTTCCAGATGCCACCATGTCGATAGCCGTAGGATAGCTAAATTGAGTATAAGTAATTAGATTATAGAAATATTATCTTAAACAAAGAACTTACTCATTGCAATATCTAAATACGCCTCTAATATCAACTTCTCTGAAGATGGCGGCAGCTAGGGGCAATTTTTGTTCAAATTGACCCATTCCCACTAATACTACCACTCCTTTACTTTTTGTAACCTAAAATAAAGAGAATGATATATTATTATAATGACATAATGACTGTTTAACAAAGGTTTCTAATATTTAATTTACACACGTTCTAACATGTTCAGTATCAACCCGGAGGAGAATGAGCCTCACACTGGTGCTCCTAATGCTAGCAAGCGCATCCGCTCGGATGCAAGCACGCCTGAACCGAGCGCTAAGAAGCCTTGTAGGGAGGGCGCAAGAAGCTACGTGGAGGCCGCTGGGGAAATAAACCACCCAGAGAACAGCCTATCCACCGAGCAACTCTTGTTGTTGAAACGTGCCATTATGAAGGCCGTGGACGCAAGCACAGAGGAAGGACTACAGGTCTAAAGCTAAACCCTCTGGAGCCTCGGGGAAGCCTGGCAACTCGAGTGGGAACAAACCCACCCGGAAGGCAGGCGGAACAGATGAGTTTCCCACCAAAAGGGGACGTAGGCCCCCTGACGGTGAAAAGCTAAATTTGACTACTGCAGGGATGGCTGCAGCAGGCAAATGTATACAAATTAACCTGCAACATGCCAAGGCCACCTCTAACGTCCTTGGCAGAAGGTTCAAGAAGGAAGACGTGCATCTCGCCTTCATTCAAGAACCCTGGGTTAACTCAGGCCGCGTATGTGGCCTTGGGGACGCAGAGGGTAGGCTAATTACTGCCCCTGGAGTAACCAGACCTAGGGCATGCATTTTAGTAAAAAAGAGCGTGCACTCTTTTAACCTTTATAGGTTCTGCTGTCAGGATGTGGTGGCGGTACATATCAAGATCCCAGCGGGGAGAAGCGGAGGAGGAGTGGAGTTCATTGCCTGCTCAGCATATTTCCCGGGAAACAAGACAGCGGATTTACCTCCTCCAAAGAAAGTGACAGAACTAATCTCCTTCTGCAAGAGGAAAAACCTACAGCTGGTGATAGGATCGACGCCAACGGCGACAACGAGGCATGGGGAAGCACGGACACCAACTTCAGAGGTGAGTTAATTCTTAATTACTTAATAGGTGAAGGGTTAGTAGTTAATAACATAGGCTCCGAACCAACCTTTGTTACTTGTAACAGGAAAGAGGTTTTAGACATTACGGTCAGCTCTAATTATTTGATCAACAGGATATCCAATTGGAGGGTATCATCTGAGCCATCGTGCTCGGATCACAGACACATAAAGTTTGAAATAAGCGTAGGTGAAAGAACTCTCCTGCAATATAGGGATCCTAAGTGCACGGATTTGGAGGATACAACCGCTCACTCGTGCATCTGCTGGAACCCACAATTGCAAAAGTGAGAGATCGCGACGAGATCGAGATTGCAGCGGAGCAACTGCAATGTGCAATTATAACGGCTTATAGTGAAAACTGTCCACTTAAAACAAAGAAGGATAATAGGAAGTCCTCTTGGTGGAACAACAAACTGGACAAAAGAAGAAAAGAAGTGCTGCAGCTTTTTACCGCGCTAAAGTGTCAGGTAACTGGGAAACTTATCGTGCGACGTTGGCGGAGTACAATAAGGAAATAAGACGGGCGAAGAGAGAGTCCTGGAGAAGGTTCTGTGGGAGTCTGGTCGATCTACCTCAAAGCACCAGAATTCACAAGATTCTCTCAAAAGAACCAGTGAATGAGCTAGGGACGATACAGCGCCCCGACGGTAATTTCACAGAGTCCAGGAAAGAAACGCTACAGATTTTGGCCCAAAAACACTTCCCAGGCTGCTTGATACTAGGTGATGAAGAGCACCCCCCCCGATACTCATGCGTCGTAAAAACCGGCCCAAAAAAGAGGATTGGGAGATAGCGAAGAAAGTAATCACCTATAGGGAGACTAAAGGGGCGATCGAAAGTTTCGACCCATTCAAATCCCCAGGAGAGGACGGAGTGTTTCCGGCCTTATTGCAGAAGGCTGAGAACATTATCGTCCCTCGCTTATTAAGAATTTTTAGGGCAAGTCTGGCATGGTCACACCTGCCAGCTGACTGGACGAGAGCAAAGGTGGTATACATACCGAAAGTGGGGAAACAAAACCTACAACCTGGCTCATATCGACCAATAAGCCTTACATCATTTCTGCTGAAGACTCTGGAGAAGATATTGGATGGACACATTAGGGGGAGGATTCTTACGTCTAATCCCCTGAATGTCCGACAATATGCTTATCAACAGGGAAAATCAACAGAACTGGCCCTCAACAATTTGGTAGGGGAAATTAAGAGTACCTTTGATCGCAAAGAAATTGCGGTAGGGATATTCCTAGATATTGAGGGAGCATTCAACAATGTCACCCCTCAATCGCTCCTAGGCGCTGTGAAAGCACGAGGAGTCGAAGCTACCATAACTGAATGGATTGAGCAAATGCTCAAAAATCGAGTAGCAACGACCTCGCTC